GGGGAGGCGGGGCCGCGGCGCCCCGTTGGGGCCTCACCTGCACACGATGTAGCGGATGACGTTGGCGTGGCAGATGAAGATCTCGTAGCTGTCCTCCTGCTGCTTGGCGTCCGCCCGGTGGATGTAGTTCCGGAAGGCGGCCTCGATCCGCGCCCCGTCCTCATAATACTGCTGGGGGCAGAGGGAGGGATCGTCCGTATGGAGGCAGTGCGCGGGCCCGCCGCCGGGAGCCCAGGGGCGGAGTGGAGGCCGCTCCCGGGGAAGGCCACCCGGGGGGAGTTTTTACCACAGCCTCCGGCTTCCAGTGAGACACGGGGGGGTCAGGCTCGATGGGGGCGCCTTCCCTCAGCAGGTCTGTGCTGACCTTGCAGACGCCTGCGGAGAGACACAGGACTCAGGCCCCTTCAGGAGCAGCCGGCCCGGGGGCGCCTGGCTCACCTGGCAGGTGCTTGCTGATGATATCCGTGGTTTCTGTTGCACGGGTCATGGAGGAATGCACGATTTTATTAAACTTCAACCCCAAGCTTGCAAGTCGGAGACCGGTCAGTTCAGCCTGCTCACGACCTTGAAGGCGGAATACACTGGAGAATTACACGTCGCCGGAGTCCCTGTTTGTTTACTTCACAAATACTTCAGTCCTTACCAAGCACCACTAGGTTTGGGGGGCAAGACGGGCAGCCCCTCCCGGGGCTCAGGCCTAAGGAAGGGGCCAGGCTTTCAACAGGTAAAATCAATGAGACAAACCAGCCACCTTCAGCCCCATAAAGAAGAAACATTGAAGACAACGGCCATGGTGGAGGCTGGCTGAAGTTTGGGTGGGGTCCTGTTTACTATTTCTGGGTCCCCCACACCATTCCTACTCAACTTTGTCCAAAGATTGGGTGTCAGTGCGCCAGTGACCACCTGCCACTCAATCACCACCACCAGGTGTTAACACGTGAGGACAGACGGCCTCAGCACTGCTGCAGCCTGGGTGCAAATACAAATGCTTTTCCTCAAATGTATCTTAGAATCCAGTCGAAATGCCCTTGGAAAGTCAGTTTCAGCTGGATGCACGATACCACAGATGCAGCTTTACTTCCACCCGGGCCTGAGGACAGGCCAGCAAGCCCCTTCACACAAGTGGGTGCTATCTCATTCAACAGAGAGATTTTTTAAAATGTAAACTCTATCTCCAACCTCCCTGCGTTTCCTTGCTAGGAATTTCTCCTACAGACAACATGAGCACAAAGACTGAGGCGGTCCCGCCCGGCGGCGCGGGGCAGCTGAGACCCGCCACCGTTTATGAGGAAGGCTCTCCAGCAACTAGGTCAAGCCAGGAGCACCGGGCGGGGCCGCCTCAGAGAGCCTCGTGCCTGCGGGCAGGATCCACCTTAACGAGGACGTTTTCAAAGCCTGTGTCAGATTTGGCTGATTATTACTAATAATGACAAGGCTCGCATCTGGGTCGAGAACACCTGACACAGGTCCAAAGAGGCCCAGCGCCCCAAGGGCACCTTCAAGGAGGCCCAGCCACGTACCCAGGGGCGTCAGCGTGCGGTCCTTCTCCAGGGAGGCGTCCACGTGGTACTGGGAGTGCCTGATGAGGAAGATGTGCCGTGTGGCCTTGGCCTTGTAGTGGTCCAGCCTGGACGCCAGCTCTTCTTCTCCGGGCTCCAGGTTCCTCTTCCGCAGGTTGACCAGGGACAGTGGTTCTCTCCTGATGCAGAAATACGAGACGGTGTGTCCTGTGCCCCTGCTCACACGTCACCCCCAGTCTTTCTGACAGAGGGGCTTCCTGGGTTGGTGAGGCACAAGGGAGGAGCCAGCGCCCCCCCTTCTCTTGGCGCCAGGCCCGCCCTGGGCGGCTGGATGTGAACAGAAGACAGGCGAAGCTATTGTGCTGCCCACGTCCTTGTGAGGAGACTGACAGTCACAGCAAGGGGACCAGGGACGCGGAGAAGAGGAAGGAGTGTCTGTGGAAGGGCAGCTGGGAAATGCCCACAGGGTGGCCTCACTGACGGGGACGCTGTGCTGCCCAACAGTAGCCACTGACCATGTGGCTACTTAAATTCAAAATCATGAAAATTAAATACAATTAAAACTCCATTTCCCCAATCACACTAAACACATTTTCAATGTTAGTAGCACATGGGATAATGGGCATCACATCGGACAGTGAGGAAAATGCTCCCGTTACCACGGAAAGCCCCTGGATGGCCCTGCTGGAATGCTGGGAGGGAGCTGCAGCAGAAAAGATGCTGAGACACCAGCAAGTCTGGTGAAGACAGGCACTCTGATGGCTCATTGGCCTCAAGCTAACAGAAATTACATGCCTGTGAGACCGGCAGAGCTGGGAAAAGAATGTACTCAGCTGAGGCAGTGCTGGAAGAATAAGTTTTGAGGGGAATAATGGTGAATTCACGGGTTCTGCTTGGGCCGTGAGAACCTGGGGAACCTGGGGTGCCTGTAACATGGCCAGGCCGAGATGCCACACTGGCGGTCACGTGGGAGCTGGGGCTGAGCCAGAGAAGACATCTGGGACCTACAGGCACAGATGCAGGAAGCCTGGCTCCTCAGAAAGAGGCTGGAGATTTCACTGGATGAGGCCCTGGAACTTTCTAGCATGGACACCACCCCCCTCACGCCCCCATAAATCTAGACTTGGCAAGCAAATACAGCATGTTGGCCTCATACAAGGCTGGAGTCCGGCTCTACCTCAAGTCAGTCCTTTAACCTCAGAGTGACTCTGTTTCCTTAAAAAGGCCCAAGAAATTCACAAGATTGTACTGATGTCTGAAAAAGAGAATATGACCCCAGTCTTATCCCAATTGAGGAACATTCTATAAAATCCCTGATCAGCCCGCTCAGAACTGTCAAAGTCATCAAAACAAGTCAAGTCTGAGAAACCGTCAAAGCCTGACTGTCCTGTGGGATCCAGGAAGACACAACGGACAACATGTAAAAACTGAGGAAATTTCAATAAAGTACGGACGTCAGTTAAAAATATCGTATCTATACTGGTTCACCGATTGTGACAAGTGTCCCATATTAGTGTGAGGTGTTAACAACAGAGGGAATTAAGTGTGGAGTATACAGGTACTCTATCATCTTTTTCTGTAAATACAAGACGATTCTAAGATAAGTTTACTTTTCAAAAATTAAAGGTTAAAAAGAATACCTATGAAGTTCCCGATACAACTAGGCCAGCAATAAATATTGGATCTGTGCCCCACACTCAAGAGTGTCAAGGAGTGAAGAGCTGGGACTGGGTAAACCATCCCACAACCCAGAGCAGTGCTGTCCAATAGAAACAGAACACCGGCAACATACGTAATTTAAAATTTCCAAGTGGCCACATTTACAAAGCAGGAAAAAACTGGTGAAATTTCAGTAACTCACTTTATTTACTCCAGCATACCAAAACTACTATCGTTTCAATACAGTATGTTAAGTTCTGCACTGCTCTGGTTTTTAAATTTAATTAACGTTAAGTAAGACTAAAAATTGCTTCCTGATCACAGGAGCCACACTCAAAGGGCTCAATAAGAACACTGACAGCGCGCGGCCAGGTGGGACCGGGACCCCTGGACCTCACGTTCCTACTCAAGATGGCTGCTGGTCCTGTCCCCGCGAGGCCGCCTCGCGGAGGCCCCTTCCAGGGCCCATCTCCACCTCGCCGTCTCAGCTGTATCGCAAATATGGGACCAACGTGCCGTCACCCAATCTGAGGATTCAGAAGTTGGGAAACGGAAACAAGGACAAGAGCCCTACAAAGGTCCAAGCCCTCCGTCTAGGACTGAAAACGACCACTTTGGGCTTCCCTGTGCGCCAGGCACTGTCCCTGGCAGCACGGTGCTCCTTCCTCAAATCGACTCCCTGGGCAGACGAGGAAACTGGCGCTCAGAAGAGGAGTCGAAGGACGCCCCACGTCCACAGCCACCCTTGCGGCCAGAACCGAAAAAGAAACCCGCACGCAAGCCTGCCCCGCCCGCCCCTCCGCGGAACCGACCACACCGACCGGCCGGAACGGCCGGGGCCCGGGAAGGCTCCCGCCGCCGGCCCCGCACCTGTCCCAGTTGGGGTCCCAGACGCCGGGCCCGGGGCGCGCGGCCCCCGCCCACGCCGGCGGCTCGACCACGCGCGGCTCCGCGTCCCCGCCCGCGCGGGTCTTCCCCACTGCCACCGCCGAGAAGAACACCGCGGCCGAGCCCCCGGCCAGGCCGCAGGCCGCCAGCTGCAGCGCCTGCCGGAACGCCATGCCGGCCCGTCCCACGCGGGGCCGCGTCGACTCCGCGCAGGCGCTTTCGGGCGCGGACGGCGCGCCGCAAGGGACAGGCTTCGGCGGGCGCGCGCTTCCGGCCGCCCGGCTGCGCGGGAGAAGCGGGAGTCGCCGGGATGGCCCTGCCTGCCGCGGGCGACTTCCGGGAACGAAGGCGGAGCCCGGTGGTGGGCGGTGGTTCTGAGACCCTTCCCTCGACCCGCTGCGGGGGGCCGGGGGCGGGAGTCGTTCCTGCCTTCGAGCAGCTAGTGCTCACGCGGCGCCCCCGGGGAGCCGCTTGGGCGGGGGCGCAACGGGAGCACCGAAGCCGGCGCCGGGCGGCTGGGCCGGGTCAAATGCGGGAAGAGCCCAGGGGGAACCCGTGCCCCGCAGATGACTTGGGGTTCTGGTTTAAGTGAACTGGGAAACTCCCGCAGGGTTTGCTGGTTGCCTTGTTTTTACTGTGGCAAAATACACATAACGCAAAATTTACCATCGTAACCGTCTTTTAGGTGTACAGCTCAGGGGCATTAAGGACATTCTCTTTGTTGTGCAAGTATCACCACCATCCCTCTCCAGAACTTTCTCATCTTCCCAAACTAAAATTCTGTCCCCGTTAAACACTTAACTCCCCATCCCCTTCCCTCAGCCCCTGGCACCCACCACCCTACTTCCTGTCTCTATGAATTTGCTCCAGGGACCCCAAAGAAGTAGGGTCAGACAGTATTGTCCTTTGCGGACTGGATTATGTCACTTAATGTCCTCAAGGTTCATCTGAGTCGTAGCACGTGTCAGAATGTCCTTCCTTTTTTTAAGGATGAATAATATTCCATTGTATGGATGGACGACATTTTGTTTATGCATTCATCCATCAATGGACATTTGGGTTGTTTCCCAGTTTTAGCTACTATTGTGAATAACGCTGCTGTGAACATGGGTGTGCAATCTCTCTTCAAGTCCCTGCTTCTGTTCTCTTGGGTGTATATACAGAAGTGGAATTGCTGGATCATCTTGACAGACTTTTAAATGGGGAAGTGATACGATCTGATTTACATTTTTAAAAGTCACTCTGGATTTTGAAGAATAAATGTATTCCACAGAAATACCCAGACCTCTGCTTAAGCATGGTGTCTTGAACCCATATATTTATGTCTCCTTCTTCCAGAAGGTCGCTTATTAAAATAATAGCAAAAAAATTTAAAAAGACAAATCTACAAGGACATACTTGAGTCCACAGAAGAAACAAAGCCAAGAGATCAGCTGACAAAATTTTGGAAGCTGGAAATCAGATTGTTATTGATCTGAGGAGATGGAATATCTGTTGCCTGCACTGAGGGAAGCCAAGAAGCAAGTTCATCTATTCCGGTGAGTCTGGCAGAGCCTGGCCAGTTACAGTTACTAGCCCCACCTCTGAGCTCTGAGGACACAGCAGGACTGACTGAAAACCTGAGAGGTTGCACTCTTCATCCCCTCCATCACCAGTGTATTCAAGTGACTACCTCACCTCCAACATGGCAGAAGACTAGAGAACTTTCATTACAGAGGATCTGAACCAGAAGGCCTCTGGATCTGAGAACACCTGACAGGTGAGACTGGGCTGCAGTAATAAAGATGAAATTATATGAAGTTCACATACTAATAGTAGGACTCTAACCCCTTTTCTCCAGTTAGCCACAAGAATGTTGGCCACTGTGCTTATACCATGCTCCCCTACAGCCACCACTCTCCCTGCCCCACCCCCCCACCCTGGGCAAGAAATGAAAAGATTCCTCTCTGGGTAAACTGACCAGCCCAGGAGAAAATACCTCAGTTATTGAAAATGGGTGGTCCCCAACAAAACTGGGTCCCAGGCTTCCCTGGTGGCACAATGGTTAAGAATCCGCCTGCCAATGCAGGGGACACGGGTTCAAGCCCTGATCCAGGAAGATCCCACATGCCGTGGAGCAACTAAGCCCATGCGCCACAGCTACTGAGCCTGTGCTCTAGAGCCCACTAGCCACAACTACTGAAGACTGCACGCCTAGAGCCCGTGCTCCGCAACAAGAGAAGCCACTGCAGTGAGAAGCCCATGCACCGCAAAGAAGACCCAACGCAGTCAAAAATAAATAAATTAATTAATTTTAAAAAAAGAAAAAAAAGATCAACATGGACTTCCCTGGCGGTCCAGTGGTTAAGACTTTGACTTTCAGCGACTTCCCTGGTGGCACAGTGGTTAAGACTCCGCACTCCCAATGCAGGGGGCCCGGGTTTGATCCCTGGTCAGGGAACTAGATTCCCCCATGCCGCAACTAAGGAGCCGGCAAGCTGCAACTAAGACCCGGCACAACAATGACGACAACAAAAACTTCATCTTCCAGTGCAGGGGGTGTGGTTTTGATCCCTGGTCAGGGAGCGATGCCTCTCAGCCAAAAAACCAAAACATAAAACAGAAGCAATATTGTAACATATTCAATAAAGATTTTAAAAATGCTCCACTTCAAAGAAAAAATCTTAAGAAAAAAAAGAGAAAGAAAAGGATCAATAGACATTTCAGGAAATCCTGATAGGGTAACACAAAGATCAAACAGGGGAAAAACAAAAAGCAAAAAACCCTGAGAAAATAGAAACAGCACGCGAGACAGAAAAAAATTCAAAAAATATATAATTAAGATCCCAAGAGGTATTGTATCCATGAAATAAGCATGGGAGGCAATCAGGAAGGAATGTTCTAAGAATGAAAAAGAAGGGAGGGAGGGCTAATGTAAATGACCAACAGGAAAGCAGACCCCGCTGCTGAAAGGGTGGCATACAGGGCCTCTCAGCAGGTCAGGGCAAGTCCTGGTCTAGAGGGGCCCGTGTCCTATGGGGCCAGGTAGCCAAGCAGTAGTATTGTGATATATGTTACCACAATTTTTTAAACGTTTTAAAAAATCTGAGGGCAGCCCTCTGATCACCCATTTCTTTCAAAGCAACAGCAATTATTCTGAGAAATTAAAATCACCACTGAAAAAACTACGTTATAGTTTATTGTGATCCTAATTCAATCCAAGGTGAGAGGTGAAATCATCTCTACTGTATTTTAAGTTTCTTAGGGGAGCACCACCTGAGGACAGGGACCACCTTTTTAAAAGCGGATTCTGACATTCAGAGATTTCTGTTTCTCCATCCATCATTTTAGGGTCATCTTGAATCACATGATCTAGAGGCAGGCTGGGTTGTTCCCGCTCTCTCACCCGCACCCTCCTCCCCCCTCCCCCCACGTCATCAGTGTGTCTGAGGACCTCTCCTGGTCATCTTCACTTCCGCAGAGAGGCCAAGTAGGTGTGCCAGAACAGAGCCGCCAAGTCGGCACAGAGCACCTGGAACTGCCGGAGAGAACACGGGCTGCAGTAAGAGCAGGGCCCCGGGCACGCTCATCAGGCACCCACCCCCCAGGACAGAGCTGTCGCGGGTCAGTCCACGCACCCACTGCCGTACCTGCTGAGCCTTTACTGCGTACAAGGCACTGTGCTAGGGGCCCAGCAGAGAGGGGTGAGGACAGTCCCTGCCTGATGGTGTTTACGGGACAGCAGGGAAAATACTCCTTCACTGAGCACTTCGGCTCCTGGCTCAGCCTCTCACCCCAGGACCAGCCATGCAGGTGGCCTCACCCGGCTCCTCCCTGACAACCCCACGACCTGCTCTTCACCCTAACCCATCCTATGCCATTACCCTGCTTCTATGATCTGACAGGCATACTCCCACCTGAAATCACCTGTAGTCAATTACTGGGTCTCCCAGGCACATAAGCTCCATGAAAGTAGCAGTCTGGTCTATCTCATTAGTCACTGTAGCCCCAGAGTCTAGAGCAGCAGGGCATACAGCAGGTGCTCAATACATATGTGTTGAATAAACTCCCTGCCCCTTAAGCACACGCCGGCAACCACCTTTTAGGAAGGTCTCTAACCCCGGGCTTGCAGCACTGTCCCTACACTAGTCAGAAGGACTCCATTTTCCAGCCTCTCTACTTTCCCTGCCGTAGACCCTTCCACGTCCTCAGCCGGTCTGTCTTCTCATGTCTTTACTTCATCTTCTATATGCCTTAGAACCACAGTGCATAGCCCTGGTTTCCTTCCCTTCTTGTTCCTCAGATGCACTCCCTGGAAAAACCTAGATCCTCCTGCCTTCTCACCTGCCTCAGGCCCCAGGCCCCTGCACATAAGAGTCTTCAGCCTCTCCTGGTTCCCCTGTCTCCAATCAGCTTCCTCTCCTATCCTCCGCAGCACCAAGGTGACCACTTCTTTACTCCCCTCAAAATACCCATCCCCCCAAGCCTCCCCACCCCTCCCCCTCCCAGAGGGAAGACAAGGTGTGGCCGGGGTCCCCAGTGAACAGTGACCTCCTCTCTCTGCTGTGCTCACAGGGGAGGCGAGCCTTCCACCTGAAGTGCCTCTCTGCTTACGCTGCAGTCCCACGCCCACCCCCGGCACTGGGGCAGCCTGGGGTGCCACCTGCATGCAGCGTGGCCACTCTTCTCCTAGCTGCAAAACCTTCTCCTCCCCTGGCCCACTGCTAACTGCCATTTTCCCCTCCGCTTCCCAAAAGTCCGAGAGACTTTTTTAGACTTGTAGTTTATCTTCTACCTCCCCACCCACTCATCAGTTCTCAGCCACCTGGCTTCAGCCCCATCGAGCCACTGAAGCTGCTCTTGGGAAGGCCATTTTTAAAGCCAATGGAAACGTTCCGATTTTTATTTTGATTTAACTTCCTGCAGCATCAGCTATTGCTGTCCATCGCTGCCTCTGGTTTTCTGCTACCCCTTGGTGTGTGTGTGTGTGTGTGTGTGTGTGTGTGTGTGTGATTACCAAGCCCGTCCCCTCCCTCTTCCCACCCTTGCAAGGTACCTCTTTCCCAAGGGGGCTCTTGCCCCAGGTCTCTTTCTCTCCTCTCCCTAAAACAGGATGGAAATCAGCCTGTATGAGCTAGTTTCAGGTAGGTTACTTAAATGGTGTGCAGAAAAGGGTTAACACAGCAGGCCTGAGGCCTGGGAATCCCTGGAAAGGCCTGTTTGAGAGGCTGGTGCTCGGCTGGTGTCTGGGAACTTGGATTTCATGTGGGGTTCCTGACTTTCCTCCCGGGGTGTAGGGAACTCTGGTGCAGGGGGCGGTGCCCATGTGCCCAGCCCCCATTAAACCCTGAGCAGAAACGCCACGTGCCTGCGTTTTGCGGGTGGGTGAGGGCTTGCTCTGTGTGGTCCTCAGGGGAGGGAGGGAGGGAGCACAGGGTGCCAGCAATGGATTCCCAGGATCCAGCTGTACATCCTGGCTGCGTGGCCCTCATAAACTTAGGCTGTGAGCCCGTCCACCCGGCAGTGGTCTTGGGACCCAGACACAGATGGGCTGTACTGGGTGTGGAGGCAGTGGACACTGGCAGGGCCTTCAGCAAACCGGAGGGCGGCCTCACTGCAGCCTGCCTGCGGCCTGCGGTCCCGCTTGCAGAGGTTCCCCACCCAGACGCTCCAACCCTCGGCTCAGAGCCCCTTGCCCCACCCCGGTGTGGCCCTGACATCCCTGCAGGTGAGGCTGCCCTCCCGCAGCTTTGTGGGCGCGGGCTGCAATCCAGCCCTAGAAAGCCGAGCGCTGCCCGGGACGAAAGGGCGCAGCGTGGACGCCGCTTGGGAGGCCCCTCCTTCTATGTCACTTTGCCTGCCAGAATCCAGACCGGTAACGATTCCGGGCGAAGAGGAAAGCCCCAGAAGGAATCCGGAACTTGGGGTGACCCTGAGGCTCGAGAAAGAGAAGGCTGGCGGGGGTGGGCTTTGGGGGAGCTCGAAGCCCCTCTCTGGCCCCGCGGTGCCGGGCTGGCCTTACTTGCAAAGGGACTTAGTTGACGTTAATAAACTGCACTCGAGTCCAGACTCGCCAGTTCATCGGCAGCGCCGGCCAGAATCCTCTCTTCATCTTCGCAGTGAAGGTGGCCGCGTCCTTCCCCTGGAGAGTGGGGAACGCAGGGGGAAACGCAGACCATGAGCAATACCGGGGCCCCAAAGCCTGACACAGTGATTTCTTTAAAACTGCAGTTTGTTCCGTTCATATGGACACAGCACACATGTGTGCTTGAGCAGCGGTGCAGCAAGGAGCTAACAATCCAGCAGGAAAATCATCAGAACAGCGCTCACACTGTGCACGCCCTTCGCCCATGACCCCTGAGAGCCGAGCTGACGATGTGATTCACGATGCTGGTCTGGGCACCAGAACTGCTCTGCTGATGGCTCAGCTGTCAATTCTTTCCAAAATAATCTCCAAAGCTGATGCATTTCCAATCAAAAGTTGTCAGGAGCTTTTAAAAAATGGACCCCAGTAAACTGATTGTAATTGTCATCTGGAAGGATAAATGCATAAGAATAGCCATCTTGAAAAAGAATAAGAAAGGAAGGCTTACCTTACTAGAAATTTTTTAAAATGCTGTAAAATTATGGCAATTAAAAAGTCTAGCAGCAACAGCCCAAAACAAACCAAATCATGGAAATGTGGAAATGAATAGAATCCAGCAAAAGAACAAAGAGTCCAGATAATGGCCTGTACACATGGGAATGAGAATATGATAAAGTTAACATTTTCCTATACTGGGGACTGTTCAATAAATGGTAACGAGGCAGTTTGCTATCTAAGTGGAAAAAACTAAGACTGAAGTATATATCTCACTATATTAAAAACAAACACATAATACTAGAGGAAAGTATAGGAGAATATTTCTATTATCTTTTGGCCTATCAAAATGTACAAACAAAATCACAAGAGTAGAAGAAGAAAATATAGGAGAATATTTCCATTATCTTCCTTTAAGGAAGCCTACAAAGGAAAAGAATGACAGATTTGAATGCATGAATTTTTTAAACTCCTGTATGGAGAAAGCCACCATAACACCCTTTATTTATATAACTTATGCAAACAATTTAACTTTATATGAAGTTAAAAGACAAACACCTGGGACTTCCCTGGTGGCGCAGTGGTTAAGAATCCGCCTGCCAATGCAGGGGACACGGGTTCGAGCCCTGGCCCGGGAAGATCCCACATGCTGCGGAGCAACTAAGCCTGTGCACCACAACTACTGAGCCTGCGCTCTAGAGCACGCGAGCCACAACTACTGAAGCCCGCGTGCCTAGAGCCCATGCTCCGCAACAAGAGAAGCCACCACAATGAGAAGCCCGCGCACCGCAACGATGAGTAGCCCCGCTCGCCGCAACTAGAGAAAGCCTGCACGCAGCAATGAAGACCCAATGCAGCCAAAAGTAAATAAATAAATTAATTAAAATAAAAAAAGTGTAGGGAAACAAACTTCACACAGAGGGAAAAGCCACAAGGGTTAGGAGCTCTCAAGAGTCACAAAACCTGTGTCTGAATCCTGACTCACGGACTCGTTACACGACCTCAGGCCAGTGTTTACCCTGCAAATAACTGAAGGCCTCAGCTTCCTCAACCGTCAGGTGGGGTTGATGTGAGGCTCAAAGACCTGAAGCACTGGATGCAGAGCTTGGAACAAGGCAAGTGCTCAATAAACGTCTGCTGATGCTATTATTCTGCACCACTGCAGGGAGGACAGAAAACGACAGCCTTTTTTGGACAACAATTCTAGGAATTAACCAAGCAGGAATCCTTGCACAAAAGGGACAGGGATACGGCGGGTGGAACGGTCTGCAGCCTGTAACGCAACGTCTGCATCACAGAATGCTGGAGGCAGAAGCACCTGTAGTGTGCGTGCCGTATGGATAGTGTGGTCCCACGTGTCTCATGATGTGGTGGGTACTTTATGCACTTTGGTAACATTTGCCATATACGTAGAGGCAAATGTTTTTGTTTAATGGAAATATACTCCTTCCTATTTGGAAGGAAAAAAAAGGGAGAAACTGCTGTGGTACCCTCACTCCTAATATGGGCACCCTCTACTTTCTCCTACCTCTGATTTCCCAAGGACTTCCCAAATATTTCTTTTTACTATCAGGGATTTATTAGCAATCACAGTGAAGTTTAAACATCTTTTCTACTGCCCACCAGGGTCACTTTAGACAGCATGGGTGTTCTCCTTACTAATAAGAACTTGAGGTGAGGTTTCAAAATAAAACCCAAGTGAGAAGCATTCACCTGCTGTGACTGGTTGAACGAATTACTTTCAGGGCAGAACATGACACGTCTCGGGCACGGAGGTGGAGAGGGGATGGTGAGGGAGCCAGTTAGTGGAGTGAGGTTGGGCAAACACACCTCCCAGGTCTTCCGTTGTGATGTTAAGTCTACACTGGTAAGTTGCCTCTTCAGAGCACTTGTGATGTCCAGACCCTGAGTGACCACAGGCTTCTGCAAGGCCACTAGGGGGCTGGAACTTCTGTGCCATGGATCTCTCTGGCAGTCTGGTGAAGCCCATGGACCCACTTCTCAGAATCATGTTTTGTAATGTATAAAATAAAATATGTGGGACTACAAAGAAACCAATTATACTGAAGTACAGCTATCAAAATATTCAGAAAAAATTTTATGACAGACCAGTATATATGCTTCTTTACTAACACATTCAGTGCTGACACTTGCCAGCAGGTGTAAGGAGTGATAAGCATCACTGATACTCTGGGCTATAACTGTGACAATGGGCGTGTGACAGCCCACTCTCTGGGACGGCCACCGCAGGCCAACAGATGCTGCTAATACGACTGTGCTTTGCTTCTGACGTTCACAGAGGACAATGTGAAACTTAAGTTTGAGTGTAAAGTTCACAGACGCTCTGAATTCCAACCACAGCATCCCTGTGCCAAAGAAGAGCTGGCCTGCATGAGTGCTATGGCAGAGACCAACCTCCAGGGAGTTCACGATGAGGAAGAACGATGACAGGAAGGCGGGTGCGAAGAGGAGGCGGCCCAGCAGCAGCCTCGTGACGCCTGCCGAGGGGGCCTCGGGAGGGATCCAGTCCCCACGAAGAGGTAGAAGGAGTGACCCAGCGGCCCTGTGAAAAAGAACCTGAGGCCCGCGGTGGGGCTGAGCTGGACACGCCCATCCTGGGGCCAGCTTCACCCCCAAACCCCAGACCCTAAACCCTGAGTCCCTCAGCACTGACCACACAGGTCTGTGTGGCCCTTCTAGAAAATACGCTTTCTATGACTCCTCTCCAAGCATTCTTTTTTGCCTCTGACAGACCAGGCTTGTTCCTGACCCCAGCTGTCACATGGCTGGCTCCTTCTCAACATGTTGGCTTGGAGAGTTCCTTCCGACTGTCCTGAATAATGAACCCACCACCATCCCAGCCACTCTCTACTCCAGGCCCTGTTTCATTTTCTTCAGAGCACTGATCACTGACTGTCATGGTCTCATTTGCTTAGTTATATAGTGCCCTCTCTTCACCCCTAGAAGGTAAACGCCACAAGACAGGATCGTGTCTGTCTGTCCACTGCTGTGTCTGCAGTGCCTAGAACAGGGCCTGGCTCAGAGAAGGTGCTTGGTAAATAATGGGAGCATCCCTGGTGTCAGAACTTGTCATCAGTCGCTCTTGGATCATTATCAGGGCTGAAACCTGGTGCTGTGCACTGGCTTGTCTGTATCAGGATTATTCATTGCAAAGAGCACAGAGTACTCAGGAGAGAACTGAACCCAGCCACCACGTCTACAGGGAAAACAGGCCGGAGGCTCCATAGAATCCAGAATCAAAAGATGGGCAAGGGCCCAGGGGCCTCCCAGCTCGACAGTGAAAAGTCTTTAAACAAGCAGTTCTCCCCTGTCTTTCCCTACCCTTTCACAGAATGTTAAGTGGCCCAGGGCAGGGCTTCTCAGGAGGAAGAGAACGGAAGTCTTGAGGATGGAAAATTGTGATTGGATGACCTCCCAGGTGATTCTGATACACTCCCCCCTCTCTGGGGGGATTAGGACTTTAAATATGTTATGGAAAAAGCTGAGATAACTCGAGTTAGCATGCTTACAAAATGTTATTTGTGAATTCTGAACTGAAAAAAATCACTCTTGTTGCAAAAGACTTCCAAATAATCCATCTATACAAACACTATTGTTGGCCAGAGAACTCAGGGTGGATTTAATAGGTAAAACTTCCGAATCTCTGTGCTTCTGCAATTCAAAAAGTGGTTCAGAAATGACAATTTTCAGGATACGTACGTATTTCTTTTCTGGATGTTTATGCTATGAAAATAACAACAGAAACTAACTGGCCATATTCGAGTCTGTTTTCCTCTTTCAGGGTCTTTGGGTCTTGAAGTCTGATTTTAGGTTCAGGTGACCTATCTGCTCTCAGGTTTCTCAGCCCAATTACAATGGCCACCCTCACCCATGCAATTCAAAACAAAAACCAAATGAAACTATAAAATAAGTGAAGCTAATGTTATCCACCATTCTGACTTTCTCCCATGATGACTTCGATGCTTCTTAAAAAACTGTTTTTCTGAGGTAGATAATTCCAGGTCTTGATATCCTAGCTTTGTCGCACTTAGCCTGCTACTGGGTAAACCAGCCCCTTTATGGAACTCACCCGTAAATGGCATATCTGAGAGGCCCTCTGACATCTAGCTTTTGAGAGCAGTTTTCTTTTTCCTAATTCTTCTCAATCAACTGGGCCAGGAAGTTCCCAAGTGCTGACAAAATGCCACTGTGGACAGAGAGGTATTCAGAAAACGTGCAGGAGGGCATCTGTTCTTGCACGTAATTAGCATGGCGGTTCTAAGAACATGCTGGGGATGGGTAGAGATGAACCCTTATCAGAGCAGCCGAAATGTGAGGTCCCTACATGAAAAGGTGGAGACGGCAGAATTTAATATACACACAGGAGCACAGTAAGATTTCCATCTGGTGGGTGGTATCAGTGTCATATCCTGATTGTGATGTTATCCTATAATTTTGCAAAAGGTTACCATGTGTGGTTATAAAAGGGCAACAGGAGGGATCCTTATGATGAAACTTTTCTGTATTTTGACTATGGTGGTGGATACACAAACCTATACATGTGATAAAACTGCATGGAATTAAACACACACTCACTCATGGACGAGTACAAGAAAAGCTGGGGGAATCTGAATATGACCTATGGGCTGTATCCATGCCAGTGTCTTTGTTGGGATACTGTACTACAGTTTTACAGAATGTTGCCAGTGAGGAAAACTGGGAAAAGTACACAAGGGATCTCCCTGTATTATTTCTTACAACTGTATGTGAATCTACAACTGTCACAATAAAATTTTCAAATAAAAAGGTGGAGACAGGCCCAGTTGCTCAAAGGCTTGGTCTATAGCTGCGTTCTGAGAAGTTCTCTAAGCTATAAAATCCAAAATTCTTAGAAGGGACAGTAAGGAGCCTCTTGATCTGGTCCTTGGCTACTTCTTTCTCATCGTCCCCCTTGCTCACTGTTCATGTTCTCCAGGGACACAGACCCACCTTCCACTCCACCATTACTAGCTAGCTCCTCCCTCAGAACCTTTGCACCCGCTGTTTAAATGTCACCTCCTCAGATAAAAACTGCCCTGACCACTTTATCTGCGTTATACATTTATCTGCTTTTTGTCTAGTTCTTTACTAGAATACAAGCTCCATCAGGGTAGGAACTTACTTATCTTAATCACCGCTAATGCTCCTCACACAGGAAGCAGCTGTGCACAAGTATGAACGGCTAAATTAATAAAAGGGGACAAACTTATAAAGTCGACTAATTGAAAGTAATGAAGGGGGGATATCTCACAAAAAGCTCAGTACTCCAAATCAAAGGGCCGACCTAACCGAGCACCGAGAGCGCTGTGTCGGCTTTCTCCCACATGCAAAGCTGCCAAAGAAAACAAGCCTTAACACCTCCCACCCCGTCCAGGCTTCCCGCGCACTTCCTAAAGGCGTTCACCTCAACCCATTCTAGTTCATTCTAGTGCTCAAAACAAGAGGAGGTACTAACAAGCCAGAAGGTAGCAGCGGACGCCGCGCAGGCTGGCGGGTGACAGACTTCTCCCCCGGGCCCCATTCACCCCGGACGGCCGTCACCTCCGGGGCAGAGGGGCTGGAGGCCCCGAGGTCTGCAGGGTCCTTCAGCTCGTGCACTCCTTTAGTCTGGTCCCTGGGTCCACATTTTAGGGTGTCTAAGAGTCCCACGGTTCGGAACCGAATATACGGTACGGCACGTGCTGAGCTTTCTGGTTAATTTAAGGCCTCTGGAGGGTCATTTTGACGCACCAGATTTTGCCTTTCACGCTCAAACCCCCACGTTGGATGCACCTATGGGGCTGCGTCACCGGTCCGTCCGAGCTCCGGGCCGCCCCTCGCCCAGGCCCGTCCCCTCCGCCGCCGCTCCGCGCCGACCTCGTGGTCGCCTTGGTGAGCACCGGGTAGAGCCGCAGGAGGCGCAGGTACTGGGCGAGCGCCCGCCGCGGGAATGCCCCAAGGTCGGCCTCGGCCGTCAGCTTCGACGCCGCCGGCGCCATCGTCTTCCCGGCGCAGCGCGGGCGGGGGACACCGACCCCACTGGGCTCCGGGTGCGGCGCAAGGGGCTGGGACGGCCGGACATTTCCCGCCCCGCCGCGAGCCGCAGTGCCTCCCGAGACACACCCCTCGGTGCGCCGCGTGAGCCTCCGCGCACTTTTCCGCGAGTCCCTAACGGGCCACCTCCGCCTCGGGCGCCGGCGGCGATTGGAGCTCGGCGGGGCGGGGCGCATCGAGCCTTCTGATTGGGCGATGGGGTGCTTCCGGTCTCTCGCGAGAGTTGGTGGGAGCGCGCCAAATTTTTACGGGGAAGCTGCGGCGGAGGAGTAGGCGCCAGCTCGAAGCTATGGTTCTGAGGAACAGCGGGCGGCGGCGCGCAGAGCCGGGCTCGGACGGCGAGGCCAGCCGGTGAGGGGGGGCCCGGCCTCCCGGGCGGGGGGCGGGCGGCGCGGGAGCGCCCCCTCCTCAGCGCGCGGGGCTTCCGCGAGCAGCGGCGAGAGTGCCTGGGGCGCTCCCCACGGCCGCCCGACGTGGGCTCCGGGTTGAGAGTCGGGCGTCTCTCCGCCGCCGCCCCTCGTCCCGGTGGTGCCACCTTGTCGGCGCCGTGTCCGGGGCCCTCGGCGAGCGGCCTGGCGGCGGCTCAGCGGGGACTGTGCGTCTCTGGGACAGGGCCGTGGGGAGGGACGCGCCGGAGCGGGGCTCGTGCGGGGCTGCGCTGCGGGTGCGTTCTCCGCGGGGGAGAAGCCCGGGGCCACGCCAGGAGCGCGCCGAGGCGGTGTAGCCTAACCTCGGGTCGGCACCCAAGCTCTGGGCGCGCGCTGTGGTCGGCGCGTTGTGTGCTCGAGTCGCGGCGGTGGAGGCGCGCAGCGTCGGCCTCCCGGTCCCGCCCGCTGCCTGGCGCGGGCCCGGCGGCCCTGAGCGCGGTGTGGCGCCGCTGCCGAATAGGAAGAGCCGCTGTGGACTTTGGGCGCAGCGCTCGGACAGTGTCGGTCCTGTCGTAAGCGGTCAGTAACGGTGGTTGTCTTTGTTACGGTTGCCTCCGTCGTTCGGGTTTTGTACTATCACGGGGTTAAAAGTGAGTTATGCGGCTCCTGAGAAAAGTTTTGAGAGGCGGTGTGGTCCAAGTGAGCAGTTTTCGAGTCCACTTAATCCAACACTTGATGCCAATATAGAACCCAGGGTATTTGGAGGAACGTATTACTAGTACGGAGCGCCGCACGCCCGGGAGCAGTTCTCCGTAAGTAGCACTTCAGTCTTGACTGGGTAAAGATCTGGGCCTCAGACTGAAGTTACCTGTGTTCTCTAGCAGGGCCTGGAATACAGTTTTTCTGCGGTTTTGATTGAAGGTGGATCCAGAGATTTTAAAGCCATACCGTGCGGTGGTGTGTTGGTTTCCCACTGCTGCTGTAACAGACGACCACTTAGTGGCTTACAGTGTACCAGTGTATTCTCAGGTCAGAAGTTCTAAAACTCAAGATGGGGCAGGGCTTCTTTCGTTCTGAAGGCTTGAGGGGAGAATCTGTTCTCTTGCCCTTTGTAGCTCGTAGAGGCTTCTTTCTCCACCTTCAAAAGCAGCACTGTCAGATCTCCAGTCTCTCGCTCTGATTTCTGGCTCCCTCGCGTAAGGACCCTTTATGATTGCAGTGGGCCCACCCAGGTGATCCCCTGAACGTAATCACACCTGCAGACTCCCATTTGTCATGTAGGATAACACAGGTTCCTTGCATTAGGACATAGACGTCTGGGGGGGAAGGGTTGTCAAGTATCCTGCCTACAACAGGTGGCTGTAATCTTTTGTGAAAAGTAAGGATCCTAATCTTGAAATAGGTCATTCTGTTCTTCAAGTGGAGGTGATAGACCCAAGGACTACCTTCAGGCAAAGGAGTTTTTCTTAAGCACCTCTCTGACCACTTTTGTTTATAAGTTAATAACTAGTGAAATGTGTTACAGTAATTAAAGACATGAATTCTGCACAGGCTTAGTTCAGATCTTTTTTTTTCTTTTTAATCTGGTCTCTATTTTGTATATTTAGCTTTCTTAGACTGCTTCCTTTCTTGGACTGCACATACATATTTTTCTCTGCTCGCTGGTTTATAAAGTAGCTCATTTATTTACATTAAGATAAAAAGGCAGGACTTCCCTGGTGGTGCAATGGTTAAGAATCCGCCTGCCAACGCAGGGGACACAGGTTCGAGCCCTGGTCCGGGAAGATCCCACATGTCGCGGAACAACTGAGCCTGTGCACCACAACTACTGAGCCTGTGCTCTAGAGCCCGTGAGCCACAACTACTGAGCCCTCGTGCCACAACTACTGAAGACCGCGCAGCTAGAGCCCATGCTCCACACAAGAGAAGCCACCGCAATGAGAAGCCCTTGCTTGCCACAACTAGAGAAAGCAATGAAGCCTCAATGCAACCAAAAATAAATTTAAAAAAAGACAAAAAGGCAAGGGATATCGATTCTTAGCTGTACAGTTTTGAGGAGTGCAGAATATAGTTGGCTTAGCTAATAAATAGGCCTTCTGCCAAAAATATATAGGGTCCAGAATCTCAGAACTGCAGTTTAAAGAAGAGACTAGCCTTTTTTTTTTTTTTTTTTTTTTGGGCCGCGTTGGGTCTTTGTTGCTGCACGTGGGCTTTTCTAGTTGCAGAGAGCAGGGGCTACTCTTCGTTGCGGAGCACGGGCTTTAGGCACACAGGCTTCAGTAGTTGTGGCACGAGGGCTCAGTAGTTGTGGTGCACAGGCTTAATTGCTCCACGGCACGTGGGATCTTCCCGGACCAGGGCTTGAACCAGTGTCCCCTGCATTAGCAGGCCGATTCTTAACCACTGCTCCACCAGGGAAGCCCTAGCATTTGTGTTTTAAGTTGGAATGCTAATAAAATAATTGTTCTGTTTTGAAGATAGATAAGCCATAATTACTCTGGTCGATCTAGATGGGATCACACCTGTGGAGTTAAAGATTGTGAACAATTTGGGATCATCCCAACCTCTGGAATCAACAGTTTTGGATAGTTCTGTTGGTGGAAAGTCTTCGTCAAGTACTTAAGGTTTATGATCAAATCTGTATGAAGAGTTATTTACAAAATCCTAACCAGAGAAAGGCTTGGGAAGTTTGAAGCAGATGTACTGAGCTGAGAAGTGATTTCCCTTCTCAGTTGAGATAGTTCCTCTCACACAGAACAATATTATATCCCCACCTTTATCCATATGTGGTTCTACTGACATCTAGACTCAGGCGTCCCAGAAGTTACATCGTGTTTTTAAGGTACACTTTATTCTGCCACAACAGGTGAGTTTCTGTAACCCCAGTTTGCTCATATGTAGTTGGTAAACAGGAGAATATCAGTAAAATGTGGAGATTATATTGGTTCATTTGCAATTTTCTCTAGGCAAGGGGGTTGGAATCCGCAGTAGGGAAGGAAAGAGCTCTTGGCTGGAGTGTTGCACAGACATGTGCACTGTTGGCTCTGTTTGAAGAAAATTTCATCTGAGCGCCTGCACCAGGGCCTCCCTCCCATCTCAGGTGGCAGGCTACACTTTTCTCCTGTGCTCAGCAGTCATAAACCAGGACCTCTCCTCTCATGTTGTGCATTTAAACAAACAGCTCTGTAAAAACGTGGTTAATGACTTTGCTGTGTAGAAATTAAAGCTACCTTTCAATGTTTATAAACCAGGTAAAAGAGAAAACGGCCTAGCCTGGGTCACTGCTGTCTCTATACACTCAGGCACTGCAGACCTCCTTGTTGCACTTTGCTAGTGTGAAATGCGCTTTCCCAGATGTGCTGCAGCCACCTCAGTGTGTGTAGGAGTACTGTGCTTTACTTACATGTGCCTTGCACAGGGTAGTACCTGAAAAGTGTTCAGTCAATATTTTTCCAACTCAAATTACAGGACTTGAAAACACAGATGAATTAGTTCATTCAAGTTATTTCAAATAACTCTGACATTACAGAATTTTACCTTGTAGATGACAAAAAACAGATATTCCCCTCTGTTTCTATTGATCTCTAGTAAATATCACACATACTATATCAAGCACCCACTCAGCTACAAAAAATCCTATCCTCACATCATGTGATTTAATCATCACTGCTCCTTTTTGGTAGAACTAGACTCCACTCCATTGGTCATTCATTTTTTCATACATAATACTGTGCTGTCAGCTTGGCATTTTTCAAAGCGCTTTTACGTTCATTGTCTCTAATGCTCGTGAAAATCCTGTGTGGTAGATACTGTTAATTACATTTTCCAAGAAACAAACTAAATTTGGGAACTAACATTTAAAAAATAAATAAACAAAGAAACAACTTTTTATTTGAGATACTGGTAGATTCTTATGCAGTTGTAAGAAATTACCCAGAGATCCCTTAACCCAATTTCCCCCAGTGGTAGCATCTGATGTAACTAGAGTGCAATGTCACAACCAGAAAATTGACATGATACAACAATGCATGTACACTTATTTATGTGTGTGTGTATTTAGTTTTGTGCACTTTGTGTATTCATGACCACCACCACCACAATCAAGACGCAGAACAGTTCTGTCCCAAGGATCCCTCATGCTACCTTCTTATAGCCACAGCCACCTCCCTTCCCGCATTCATGGCAGCTGCTAATCTGTTCTCCACCTCTAACTGTTATTTTAAGAATGCTATATAAGTGGAATAAAATACGCAATTTGGGGGAGTTGGCTTTTTCACTCAGCATAATTCCCTTGAGACCCATCCAGGTTATTGCATGTATCAATAAGTTTGTAATCAATGAATTGTATTCCATGGGAAGGATATAACATGGGTTAAATATTCACCTGCTGAAGAATATCTGGGTTGTTTCGACTTTTTGTGTGTAATGAACAAAGCTGCAATGAACATTCACATGCAAGTCTTTTGTATGAGCACGACTTTTCTCTGGGATAAAAGCTCAGGATTGCAGTACTGGACTTTGTGCATTTTTAATATCCCATGAGGCAGCAGTGTCCAGCCAAGATTGTTGTTTTTATTAGTGTTCTGGTTACACAGGTAAACAAGTTTTGAGGGTTCTGCCCCAGTCGTCTTTTTCCTGAGACCTGTTATCTTAATGAGCTATTTTGCCAAATGTGAGGTTTTTCAGGGATGCTCCTACCATGTCATAAACGAAATTCTTACACTAAGCAGACTGAGGGCCGCGGGAGTAGATAGTGTCATGATCAGCGGAGACCGGATTTCTCTCCTTTCACTCAGGGACGATGGCCCCTCTACTTCTGTCTCGGCACTCAAGCGCCTGGAGCGCAGTCAGTGGACAGATAAGATGGATCTGCGGTTTGGTTTTGAAAGACTCAAGGAGCCTGGTGAGAAGACAGGCTGGCTTATCAACATGCACCCTGTAAGCACCTGTGCTTTTCCTCCATCTTCCTCCTTCCATTCAGGAGGGTGGCTGCACCCCTTGTGGCATAGCCCTTGTCTGAAGAGTAGGTGACCCCTAGCGGGAACCTGTTGTCTGGGCAATACAGGTAGAGAGGGGGATTGTTCGTAGCTCTCTTGCTTTCCTCTCTAACTTCTTTGGGTCATAAAGAGGCCACTGGGAAGACTGAGGTAAGGGGCATCCCTGTTACCCATAAGAATAAAGCTTTCAAAGATGAGGGGGGAACAGAGAAATTCCCATTTGGAGGCTGTTATGACACGGTTCTTGTGAATGGGGCCAGTAGTGTTTATGCAAAAGGGTAGAGAAAGATTTTGTTTTTAAAGTGCTCAGTTTCCCAGAGAAGGAGGAAAAGGCTCTTGTGCTGTGTAGAGGATAACTTTGTGCCCATGTTGACTGCTTCTCTTGTAGACGGAGATTTTAGATGAAGATAAACGCTTAGTTAGTGCAGTGGATTACTACTTTATTCAAGATGATGGGAGCAGATTTAAGGTAAGCCCTTGACATCCAAGAAGCTAACAACCACTCAGTAATGAGGCATAGCTGGGCTCAAAATGGCAAGTGTCCTTTTAGCTCTGCAACTGTGAGGAGAGGGATTGGGAGGCTTGCGGTGTGCAGCTTCCTGAAGCCCTTTAGGGACATGGACCCCTTGGAGCCACATTAGTCACCACTTAAGATGTCCTAAGAGAAGCTAGCTCAGAAAGACTGAAAGATGAGCAGCATTGTGTCTCTTAGACTCTTGCCCCTGTGATATGTGCATGTCCTAATTTTCTGTTGCACTGTCTCTCTTAAGATGTGTCAAGGTCAAGGATGCATTGGATCTAGGCTAGGCTATATCACGGGTATAACAGCAAACAGCCTGTCTTCATTTTTCTTCCTTTTTTCTTTCTCATCACCCCCCTGAATGGGTGTGACTCTTGCAGGTGGCCTTGCCCTATAAGCCATATTTCTACATTGCAACCAGAAAGGTAAGTCTGTGGTTCATGGCATCAGGTCAAACGACCTGTGCCTCGTTTTGTGGGGGGATTTAAAACTGGAAATAAAGAGTCTTCAAGAGAAATAAGCAAGGAAGGAAATAGATTTTACTAATGGGAAGTCCTTTCATTCTGATCCTGATTTAGGGTTGTGAGCGAGAAGTTTCGTCTTTTCTCTCTAAGAAGTTTCAGGGTAAAATTGCTAAAGTAGAGACTGTCCCTAAAGAGGATCTGGACTTGGTGAGTATCACCCAGCCCTTTCAGGGTAAATGAGACCGGGTCCACCCTGCCCATGGGGTGAGATGGGAAGAGGACAAGTTCCACACCTGTGAGACAGTATAGATGATGGGCTTTGGTGACTGTCCCTGTATCCTCTTAGAGAACTCTAGTGGCATAGTTGGTGCCACATGCAGAGTTGAACAAGGTGCTTTGGAGTTGCCAACTCTTCAAATCATTTATTTACCTTTGAATCGTCTTGCCTTATTTCCTCTCCCCAATGTAGTATTTTTTTCTCTTTGAACTCATGAGCACCATCTCTTCACTCTGTAGCCAAATCACTTGGTTGGTTTGAAACGAAATTACATTAAGCTGTCCTTCAACACCGTGGAGGACCTTGTCAAAGTGAGGAAGGAGATCTCCCCTGCTGTGAAGAAAAACCGGGAACAGGGCCACACCAGTGATGCCTATACGGCTATGCTCACCAGGTAAGCTTCATTCACATAAGCAGAGCAGCCAGTCAGTCCACAAGGACTGTTTCCCATTTTTCCTACGTTTACAAGATGGGTAGGAGGTGGGAAAACTCAGCAATAAAATTACCTTAATGATTGGCTCCATTCAATGTGGAAATAGTTTTGAGCAATTAGGTAGACTTTCTTTCTTTTTTTTTCTTTTTTTTTTTTGCGGTACGCGGGCCTCTCCTGTTGCGGAGCACAGGCTCCGGGCGTGCAGGCTCAGCGGCCATGGCTCACGGGCCCAGCCGCTCTGCGGCATGTGGGATCCTCCCGGACCGGGGCACGAACCCATGTCCCCTGCATCGGCAGGCGGACTCTCAACCACTGCGCCACCAGGGAAGCCCTGGTAGACTTTCTTATATGTTCCCTTTGTGTTAAATAAATGGTAGATTCCCAGGCTGTATTTTAGCTGTCCTTCTTTTCTAACATAGAGGGTAGATTTGTGGCTCCAAATTTAGTTGCTGTAACAGTAGACATTTTAGATTTCTAATCCCACCATCTTAACACGGTCTGTTTTCATGGTTTTTAGTAAGTGTTAAGATGTCTGCAACTTTTAATAAATACCTATATTTACATAGCACATCTCCAGAGATCCCTGGGTATTATACAGAGAAATTTAAATATAGGACAATAAACACCGTTCATTAAATATTTAGACAGCAAAAGTAATAAGAAACAGGGTAAGAGATTAAGAAGAAATCTTGGCTAATTAAAAGTTATGATGACTTCCACATACAGATGGCCAACAGGCGCATGAAAAGATACTCAACATCTCTATTAGGGAAATGCAAATCAAAACTACAGTGAGGTACCACCTCACACCAGTCAGAATGGCCATCATTAAAAAGTCTACAGGGCTTCCCTGGTGGTGCAGTGGTTGAGAGTCCGCCTGCCGATGCAGGGGACACGGGTTCGTGCCCTGGTCCGGTAAGATCCCACATGCCACGGAGCGGCTGGGCCTGTGAGCCATGGCCACTGAGCCTGCGCGTCCGGAGCCTGTGCTCCGCAACGGGAGAGGCCACAAGAGTGAGAGGCCTGCGTACCGCAAAAAACAAACAAACAAACAAAAAAACTACAAGTAACAAATGCTGGAGAGAGTGTGGAGAAAAGGGAACCCTCCTACACTGTTGGTAGGAATGTAAATTGGTGCAGTCTTTATGGAGAACAGTATGGAGTTTCCTCAAAAAACTAAAAAAATAGAGTGCCATATGACCCAGCCATCCCACTCCTGGTCATATATCCGGACAAAACCATAATTCCAAAAGATACATGCACCCCTATGTTCATAGCTGCATTATTCACAATGGCCAAGACATGGAAACAACCTAAATGTCCATCGACAGATGAATGGATAAAGAAGATGTGGTACATATATACAGTGGAATATTACTCAGCCATAAAAAAGAATAGAATAATGCCATTTGCAGCAGCATGGATGGACTTAGAGATTATCATACTAAGTGAAGTAAGTCAGAAAGGGAAAGAAAATACTATGTATCACTTATAATGTGGAATCTAAAATATGACACAAATGAACTTATCTACGAAACAAAAATAGACTCACGGACATACAGAACAGACTTGTGGTTGCCAAGGGGAAGGTGGGGGGGGAGGGATGGATTGGGAGTTTGGGGTTAGCAGATGCAAGCTATTATATATAGAATGGATAAACAATAAGGCCTACTGTATAGCATAGGGAACCATGTTTAATACCCTGTGGTAAACAATAATGGAAAAGAATTTTTAAAAGAATGTTTATATATGTATAACTGAATCATTTTGCTGTACAGCAGAAATTAACACAGCATTGTAAATCAGCTCTACTTCAGTTTTTAAAAAAGGCACACAAAAAGTTAAGATGACTTCAGAAGAACTAATTGTATCCTCTGACAAAAGTAGATCAGTTTGGGACCCTGAACATTTCTGCACACTACCCCCCCACAGTGGCCCATTAATTACTTTTCAGAATATTGCAAGTTGTAACCAGAGACCGAGTCCCCAGAGGCCTGCCTTCTCTAAAACCCATTGCCTTTCTTTCCCCCCTTAATAGTCCATTCGGTATTTGGAAGCTTAGTGGGCTAATATTGGAGTGAATATTCTAGTGACAATGATTCCCTCTTCGATATGGTAAGAATAATTATGATACAGAAATAGTGACTGTTTACCTGTCACTTCACCATGCCGACAGCTTTGTGGCTAGTAGCTCATGACGCTCTTGCAGGGTGGGCCTGTTACTGTCATCCTCGATTTCTTGATGAAGAAATAAGCTTAGTGAGGGTGGGTCACATCTGTAGACATGCCTCCCAAGTAACAGTTTCCTTTCTTTGCTCTTTTAAATGGGGTGTAACTTACGTCCTATAAAATGAATTTCCTAAGTATACTGAATTTCCTTGTGTCTGTGGCCTGCTGCTTGGTGGGGTGGGGTTCATCCAAGGTCATTCCTTACGAAGGGCCTGTCCTGATCATCTCAGCCACCTTGTAAAACTTTAGTGTTTTCATTGTATGGACACTGGTCTTCCCCCCTCCAGCCCCTAGCAGAGCATAGTTGAAAAAGCTGCTGTCTTTATTTTGCAGTGTTCTACAAGGGGGCAGTGTGATTACTGATGAAGAGGAAGCCTCTAAGAAGATTTCTGACCAATTGGACAACATTGTGGACATGCGAGAGTACGATGTGCCCTACCACATCCGCCTCTCCATTGACCTGAAGATCCATGTGGTGAGTGGGCTATTGCATGTGGGCAGTTCCTGATAGCCAGGAGGTGATACTGAAGGATAGATCCATAGAGTTGACTTCCTTGGACAGACGGAGAAGTCTTTAGTTAATGCACCACACGTCCTGCAGGCTCACTGGTACAACGTCCGGTACCGAGGAAGTGCCTTTCCAGTGGAAATTGCCCGCCGTGATGACCTTGTTGAACGACCCGTAAGTACCACTTGCATTTCTTCCATCTTAAACTTTCCAGTTGTTTTTGGAGAGTGAATTCTGCGCTGAAAGGTGAATTTGATTCAAAGGTTTGTTTGCTTCTTTTTCCTCAGATACCTTCTTAAAAGAATTATGGGGTAGTTGTTTTTTTCATCAGTTTCTGACCTGACAGTATAATTTGACTTTGCACACAGACATCATCACGTGACGTCAGTATTTGAGCTAGGCTGGATCGGAACATTTGAGGGAAAGCTCTGACTTCCATTTTGGGTGGTTACTAGTAAAGTGATATGTTGAAAAGTGGATTCATAACTGGTTTGGGTACAGCTTTGTGATCTTGGGAAAGTCTGTACTCTGTTTTCTCACATCCAAAATGAAGTTGTCAGTTCTGTGTCATCTCCTGTCAGGGTTGTCATAAAGGACAAAATGAGTGATGCATTTTAAAGAGCTTTGAGACTCAGGTGTTCTGTAATTCTAGACTTTTCCTGTGAACAGCTACTCTAGCATTTTCTCATACGTTTAAGTTTTCATATCCTCATGGTATTCTGGACATAGGTCATTCATCTTCGAGATGCCAGTCCCACTTCCTCGTGAACCTTTCCCCGCAGCAGCTTGACTCTTACTTTTAGTAACTGGCAGTAGAGGTGGAGGTGGTGGGTGTCAAGAGGACCACAGGGTCTCCAGAGCTCAGCTTGGTTTGTGGCCAACTTAATGCTACATTTTGTCCCTTCAGGACCCTGTGGTTTTAGCATTTGACATTGAGACGACCAAATTGCCCCTCAAGTTTCCCGATGCTGAGACTGATCAGATTATGATGATTTCCTATATGATTGATGGTCAGGTGAGTGGTGCCTTCTGGGATGTAAGCTCTCTGTGAACAAGGACCATAGCTGGTCCTCAAACCAGAACAGTGTCCACCCTTGGTTAGTACTTTTTTTGTGAATAATGAGTGAGTGGAGTCCACAGAACCTGTTCTAACATCCAGCCACGCTCTGCCTTCCAGGCAAATCTGAGGATTAGGTAGAGTGTCTCTTCTTGGGAAAGCCAGGGCGCTTCAAGCTGCTGCAGAGATTTTGTAGCGAGAGTCTCCGGGCTGCGTGTGAGAGGTGTGTCTTTGGCTTTGTGTCTCTAACTCATACTGACTGCTATTGAACTTCCCAGGGCTACCTCATCACCAACAGGGAGATCGTCTCAGAAGATATAGAAGATTTCGAGTTCACCCCCAAGCCAGAATATGAAGGGCCCTTCTATGTCTTCAATGCGCCTGATGAGGTAGAGGTGTCACTTGGGAAACTGCCTGACGTTTGGGGTAGAGTGGGAAGGGGAGGCAGGCCTGGTGACCCTCTTAGGCCTCGGCATTCCTCTAATCATAGCAGCAGCTGGACTCAGTCCCCAGTGGCTGGTCCTCATTCACCTGGAGGCCCTGTTGGGTTGGAAATAACAGGCTCACGTGAGGTTGCTGCTCCTCAGCTTTGGAGAGCTGCCTGGAAATCACTTGAAGGAGAGTAAAAGCAACCCTCTGACTGCTAAGATTTGTTGAATTCAGGTTCATCTAATCCAAAGATGGTTTGAACACATCCAGGAGACCAAACCCAACATCATGGTCACCTATAATGGGGACTTTTTCGACTGGTGAGTCAGAACGTGGGGTGGGGGGGGAGGAGCACCGCTGGGTGGCACGGGCGGGCTCCGCACTGTGATTGAGAGGAGCTCACGTGAGGCGTTCCCTGGGGGCAGTCTTCCTGGTCTCTTAGGAATTAGAGACTCACTGCCCCACGTGCTTGTCCATCCTCTCGTCATTAGGCCGTTTGTGGAGGCCAGAGCAGCGGTCCATGGACTGAGCATGTACCAGGAGGTTGGGTTCCAGAAGGACAGCCAGGGGGAGTACAAAGCACCCCAGTGCATCCACATGGACTGTCTCAGGTAGGCCCCACAGCTCACCTGGCGGCTGGTCACAGTGTCTCATGAGGGCTTCCTGTGAGTGAGGCCCAAGATTCCCTTCTCGCACACGCTGGTCCTGTCCACAAGAAGTAGCTCCCATCATCTGTGAGAACAGTGGCTTCCGGCTCTGCCCAGGTCCCGGGATGTGTCTTTCATCATTTGTTCATCCTTCATTCAGTCAGCAAACACATGCTGAGCACTGGTCCTCAGGGTGTGGAAACCAGACCAGAAAGAAAGACCTGGTAGAGTGAGGCCCGGTGCCATGGGAGCTCGTGGAGGGGCCTTGGCTTCCCACACGAGGTTGGGATGTGGTAGTCAGGCTCGTGCATGGTGTCCAGGCAGGCTGGGGTGTCCAGGCTGAGGACAAGTGTGCAAGGTGGCCCAGAGTGCTGAGGGGCAAGGCTGGAGTGGAAGGAGGTCTCGTCGGCTTTCTGTGCCTGGCGGGGAGGGGGTTTTATCTTGGTGGTCATGGGGAGCCATTGATGCGTTTTCTCTTTAGCCCTGGTGTTACGGCGCGTGGATTGAAGGGGCAGGCCGGGTCATAACGTGCACAGGAGTGAAGAGGGCTGGACTAGAGATATTTGAGAGCCGAGGACTTGTGGATCTATAGATTTGGGGACAGGTGCAGGAGGCATGGCGAACTCTGGTTCTCAGGGCTTGGGGTGGGCTTATGGGGGAATAGAACAGAGCTCGGGTTCCGAGTAGAAGCAGGCCTGGGAGCCCTACCCACGTGGAGGGCCTGGGGACTGTGGGGCACTGTGATGTGGTTAAAAAAAAAAAAGTGATAGTTGATAGATTCTCAAGAAGAGAAGTAAAAGAGAAGCGGGCACCCTCAGTGGAGGCAGCAGCGCCATGGAGGCCCCAGCGGGGCAGGGCAGAGAGGCCAAGGAAGGTGAGATTCGATGCTGCCAGTAAGAAGACGTGGGTCCTAGAGAGACAACAGTGTGTGTCATGGGGGAAGAGGTGGAGATGGGTGCGAGGTGGCCTGGAGTGTTTCTGTGCTAAAGGGATGGTGCAAGAGGATGAGGAGAGTTTGACGACAGGGTGTGAGGGGCGGGGAGAGCAGGGCAGAGCCTGGCTGTAGAGGGGGCTGTGGAGGGATCCAGAAGGCCAGAGGGCGCAGGTTCCTGCCTGCCCACCTTTGCGTTTCTCTGTGAGGCTGAGAGGAAGGCCGTGGGGCTGGAAGGACTGGCTCTGGCATCTCCTTGTTTGTGGGTTTGTCTGTGAAATTGACTGGATCCGGGTGAAAGCTTTTCACAAGGGGCCTGCACCACGTGACGCCTTGGAGATCTTTGGGTACCCATCAGGACCCTGCATCTTCCTGTGGTGTGTCCAGCTTTGCAGCCTCTCACAGGTTCCTGGGCTTTGTCTCAGAATCATCTCTGGCTTTTGCTCTCTTTCTCATTCCCAGGTGGGTGAAGAGGGACAGTTACCTTCCCGTGGGCAGCCACAACCTCAAAGCAGCTGCCAAAGCCAAGCTGGGCTATGACCCCGTGGAACTGGACCCCGAGGACATGTGCCGGATGGCCACTGAGCAGCCCCAGGCACGTGCCCTGCCTCGCAGAGTTGCCCTTCGGCTGGCGGTGGTGGCCTGCTGGGCGCCTCATTGACCTTACTCTCTGATATTCTCTCCTTAGACGCTGGCCACCTACTCGGTGTCAGACGCAGTGGCCACATACTACCTGTACATGAAGTACGTCCACCCCTTTATATTCGCCCTGTGCACCATTATCCCCATGGAGCCCGATGAGGTCAGTGCCTCTCCTGGCCCGCTGCCTGCCGGAGTGGTCCCAGGCAGCTGATGCGGACGCAGCCGTTGGATTTTGGTGTTTGGCTGAAAGCCTGGCGTTTCCCCCGTAGGTGCTGCGGAAGGGCTCCGGGACGCTGTGTGAGGCCTTGCTGATGGTACAGGCCTTCCACGCCAACATCGTCTTCCCCAACAAGCAGGAGCCAGAGTTCAGCAAGCTGACAGATGATGGCCACGTGCTGGATGCCGAGACCTACGTGGGTGGCCACGTGGAAGCCCTGGAGTCGGGCGTGTTCCGCAGTGATATCCCCTGCCGGTTCCGGATGGTGCGCCCCTCCTGAGGCTCCTAAAGCTGGGCCTCTTCCCGCCAGTGCTGTGGGCGGACCCAGGAAGGACCCAGCCCATAAGGGCTGAAATAAAGCCCTCGCCTCGTGGGCCCCTCGCCAGCCGTCCTTTGGCCTGCCCTTTAGGGTGCTGTAGGGCGAGCACTTGGCTCCTTCTGGAGCGTTCTCTTTGTAGCGTCCCACCTGAGGCAGGTTACTTGGTGCGAGGGCATTTTCCTCTCTTACTCATGTCCTCTCTTGGTTGTTTGTGTTAGAATCCTGCTGCCTTTGACTTCCTGCTGCAGCGGGTGGAGAAGACCATGCGTCACGCCATCGAGGAAGAGGAGAAGGTGCCCATGGAGCAGGTCACCAACTTCCAAGAGGTAACGCACGGGGGGCTGGAGGGGGGACAGTCTGCTTACACGCCTCGCCTTGCACATTGGCTTCTTTCATCGGCATGTTTATTGTGCACCTATTGTGTGGTGGCGCTTGGGCGCCGAGACAGGACACGGGGCCTGGTCTGGTCTAGTTAGGACAGGAGAGCGTGGTGCTCGCAGTGAGTGACTCGATTTGGTGACGTGGGAGAATTTCACAGAGATGGCGAAGGCTTTCGGGACAAAGTGGTGTGATGTGGGAGAGAGGAAGGCAAGTGAAGGGTTTCGTGCCAGTTTACCTGAACTGTATTTTGTAGGCAATGAGGAGCCATTGGAGGATTTTAACTTTTTATTGTCAAGAGACTTTAAAAAATGATGGTAGGAGTTCCTACAAATTACAGGGCAGAATATAGTGACTGTAAAGTCCATCACATAATGGTTAGAAAATGCCATATGCAAAGCGTGTCACATGACTGGAGGCCCCAGGCACCTCCCACTTCGCTGTCCTGTTCCTTTGGATGCGGCACATCTTGGGTCTCTGTCAGGTCCTGCTCAACACTTTAACATATTCAGCTACTTTAGTACTTTGCAGTTCTTACCAGTTCTAGGATTGATTTCAAGAAACGCCTTATAACAGATTCACCAGGCAAAATTCAAACAAAAACGTGTGCACATGCTCTGCAAACTATGAAGTACTGTGCAGCTCTTGTCAGCTGCAGCTATCATGTACTTTGGGAACTCTCTGTGAACCAACTTGAGAAGAAGAGAGTCTAGGCTGAATAACAAATAGGAGTTAAAGAACGACTTGAAAGGAACAAAGTTACTACTTTCTTTTTTGAGGGGTTGGTGTGGGGGTGGGCACAGCAGGTGGGATCTTAGTTCCCAGATGACAAGGGGTCAAACCCAGGCCCCTGGCAGTGAGAGCACTGGGTCCTAACCACTGGACCACCAGGGAGTTCCCAAAAGATACTACTTTCACGTCCAAGAACCAATGAAATGAGTGGAGTGAGGCTTAAGGTATGGTAACTGGAGGGACTCCAGACACCTTAGTGAATCTGGATGTGAACTCTTTCTAGGTGACAGGCAGTACGTCTTAGTAGCTGTCTCCAAAGTCCCTGAAACTTCTCTATAGGGTGGCCCAGGGTCTTTAGGGGAAGGGCAGCAGGTCACCTTTTTGTTCCTGAGTGATCATCCGGGCAGTGGTATGATGACAGCTGGTGGGAGGCGTCAGCTTGGGGCTCACAGCGACGTCTGGCCTGTCCAGGTGTCATCCCCTGTCATCCCAGCCTTCTGCGCCTTACTTGGGTCGTCTTCATCTTCCCTCCAGAGCAGCATTTCAGAGCTTGCCTTAGCACAGAGATGGATGGGGGATTGTTCTCCAAATGGCTCATTTGCCTGAGATTCAGTTAGAAACAATAAGTATTAAGTTTCTGGTATTTCCTGTTCTACTTGATAGATGTTCCTTTTAGTCATTTTTTCCTTACTAGTTTGAGTTTGACTTCTTTGGAGGGTTTTAAGGAATTTTTTAATACTAAGGGCAATTTTGCATTCAAGTGATTTTCTAATGTGACTTTACCAAAGTTAATGTATTTCATAAAAGATGGCTGCCCTTCTGATTGATGTTTTTCTTCTGGTTAATTTTTGCATAATTTAGATGTTTTCCAGTTTATACTTGAATGTCTAGAGATTGGCAAACTATAGCCCATAAGGCCTGTTTTTGTACAGTCAGCAAGCTAAGAATGGTTTTCATATTTTTTAAATGTTGTAAAAAAAAATATGTGATAGACTGTGGCCACAAAACCTGAAGTATTTATTATCTGGCCCTTCACAGAGGTTTGCAGACCCCAGATCTAAAGGTTTTTTTTTAGCCAGCCTGTCTAAGAATGCCAGTGTATTCAATTAAGTTATCTAATGAGTGTTAGATAACTCCTAAATACAGTAGTTCTCAAATTTTAGTGCTGCATATACATTTTGGATCAAATAAGTACATACCTAATGTTCTGGTTTAACTAGGTGTTACATTTGGGGAGTGAATAAAAATAAAACAAAAATACGTGGCTATCAGAGCCTGTTTATTAGCCTTTTATAGTTTCAGTGACTGTTTTTGTTTTTTAGGACAATATTTTTATTTCTAGAAGCTCTATTGGTTCTTTTTCAAATGTGCTTTATTTCTTTAAAGTGGACTTTTTCTCTTGCTGTGTTTTGTTTATTTTCTAATTTTAAATTTTTTTGAAGTATAGTGATTTATAATGTTTCAGGTATACAGCAGTGTGATTCAGTTTTATACATATATATATATATATATATATATACACGCATACATATGTACATACACATGCATATATTCTTTTTTTTTTTTTTTTTTGCCTGTGCCACGTGGCTTGCAGAATCTTAGTTCCCCAACCAGGGATTGAACCCATGCCCCTGCAGTAGAGGTGCAGAGTCCTAACCACTGGACCGCCAGGGAATTCCCTATATATATATGTATTTTTTCATATTCTTTTCAATTATAGGTTATTACAGGATATTGAATATAATTCCCTGTGCTATACAGTAGGTCTTTGTTGTTTCTCTTCCTGTGTTTTAGATTTTTGGTCTTTATTGTCTTTAATTAGCCCCATTTTAGCATGTTTACTCCAGGAGGTTACTTCTCTGATGTTCTCAGGGGTCTCCTCCCACTGTGTCTGCTCTCAGTCACGGTGGGTGTTTTTTCCCCATGCTCAGCAGTTTTGGAATGTGAATTCCTCTTCAGTAGGAGGACTGTCAGGTAATTTTACAGTTTCTTCCTGGTTCCACAAAAGTGACACAGGCCTGATGTGCCTTCTTATCTGGTTCCTTGGCTGGAGGGTCTCAGTCTTAGTGAGGTAATGCAAATCACAGACCTCTTAGCACCCGTGATGACAGATGCTCAGGGAAGATGCTTTCTTTGCCCAGAGCCCAGAATGCACATGGTTTTGGTGAGCAGACTTGTTCTAGTTTATTCTTTTATGGAGGTGGCCTTTGAGAGTCCTGCCTTTATTTGGGGCTCTGTGTTTTGTCTCCCTGTTGTGTGTAGCCTGCCCCTCCCTGAGGAGGCATGAGAAGTGTGAAGGAAAGAGCTCACAGCACAGGCCTGAGGCCGCTGACCTCGGAAAGGCCTGCTGCTCGGCTGCCCTCGGCGGAACTCGGGTTCCAGCAGGTTTCTCGCTTCCCTCTGATAGGAAGGCCTCACGGAAGCTCAGTTGCTTGTGCAAACAAGGTAGTCTGTGCTGAGCACCTGCTTTCCTTCTGGGAGTCCGGGTTTTGGTCCATGCAGGCAGAGCTGCCTACGTGAACCGCCCCCAGTAAGAACCCTGGGCAGTGGGTCTCCACGAGCTTCTCTGGGAGACAGCGCTTCTCATGGGTTGTCATGGCTTGATGCTGGAAGAATTCAGCTCATCCAAGCTTGAGCCTGGGCTCTTCCCCATCGCCTTTTTCCTTTGCTGATTGAGCTCTGTGTCTTTTCCCTGTGAGTCACCAAACCTGGGGATGGTCTTGGGGACCCCAACACAGGGCCTGGCCCTGCCAGGCACCCATTGAGTCAACTCACTGCTCTGGTTTTGAGTCTGCTCATCACTTTTGTTCTCTGGGGATGACTTAGAAGCTCAGAACTGCATTTACAGGGATAGTTTTCACATTTCATTTAGGATTTCTAGGTGTTTGGCATTAGGAGGGTTTTTAAGCTAATAGCCTTGGCTGGAAACAGAATCTGATTCATTGGTTTATAAAGTAATGCTGGAAACAGTCTAGCATCACAGTTCAGAGCAGGTGTTTGGTCTAAGAGGGCCCGTTCTTGAGCCCATACTCACCTCTTGAAACTTCTCATCCATCAGATGAGGGATTGCTGGGATGTTGATGTTGTGTCACACACCTGCACCATGGGGGCACTCGGGGCACCCAGGAAGTATGGCTCTTGATAATCTAGCTGGGTCCCCTACTTGCTAGCAGATGGGCCGTGCCATGTGAGGCCACAGACTCTGCACTTTTCTCCTGAACCCCAGAGTTCTTTGGGGTGGAGGCTGCTGCTTCCCGTGATGCTGTCCTGTCTTTTCTTGCAAGTCCCCTGCACCTCCAGGGCCTGGTGTTGGTGCCTGTCATCTGTCGTCCGTCTGCAACCCATGGTGCTTTCTCTGTCACTCTGTACAGTCTCCAAGTTTTCGTCTTGGTCGCCAGCCTCCACTTCTTTCCCCTTTCTCTGTAGGTGTGTGATCAGATTAAGGCCAAGCTCACCTCCCTGAAAGATGTTCCTAACCGAATTGAGTGTCCCCTTATCTACCACCTGGACGTGGGGGCCATGTACCCCAACATCATCTTGACGAACCGCCTGCAGGTGAGAGAGATTCTCACATCAGAATCAAGCTCTTTTGCCCAAACCCTAACTGCTCCCTTCCTGTCCCCTCACAGCCCTCTGCCATGGTGGATGAGGCCACCTGTGCTGCCTGTGACTTCAACAAGCCTGGAGCAAACTGCCAGAGGAAGATGGCCTGGCAGTGGAGGGGCGAGTTCAGTGAGTGTCCGCCCTGGGCGGTGCTGCTCAGCAGGGAGCCCAGCAGGGGCTGGGTCTCTATCACACACTCTCTTCCCATCACCCCTCCCAGTGCCAGCCAGTCGCAGCGAGTACCATCGGATCCAGCACCAGCTGGAGTCAGAGAAGTTCCCTCCCTTGACCCCAGAGGGCCCAGCCCGGGCCTTTCACGAGCTGTCCCGCGAGGAGCAGGCTAAATACGAGAAGCGGAGGCTGGCAGGTGAGCAGTTGGGACAGCGCGCATCTCCACAGACTGCGTTTTCTCTGACTTGAGTCTTCGTTGGGCTGTGTTGGTGTGTCACCCCTTGAGGTCAGTCGAACCAGTTGTTGAACTAGATGAGACCACTGGGAACTAGTTCTTCCTATAGGCTTCTTTTTGTCATTTACCCTTTGGTGCGTGTTCAGCTACCAAACCCTCCCTGTGGTCTTCATGTGTTTGGTCCGTTCATACGGGGCTGCTGTTTCTTTGATATGCTTCACAAGCACATGTCTTTCTGAGTTTTCTGCTCCTTTGCATTAACCTAAAAAGCCACGTTTGTTGGCATCCATTGCCTAGCTTTCTTGGCTGTGTCCAGGAGGCCTGTCTGCTGTGTGGAGTCTCACGTGCCCCCCACTCTCAATTGTGCCTCAGATTACTGCCGGAAGGCATACAAGAAAATCCACGTGACCAAGGTGGAAGAACGTCTTACCACCATCTGCCAGCGGGAGAACTCCTTCTATGTGGACACAGTGCGTGCCTTTCGGGACAGGCGCTACGAGTTCAAAGGTCTCCACAAGGTGGGCCTGACCTTTGTGAGGTCGGAACAGAGTCTAGTTTCTGAGGTGAAAATCCTTGCTTGGCGCTGTCTGGATGTGTTACTCCCCACCTCTGGGCTGGTACCTGCATTCAGACAATAAATGTGCAGTTGTTCTTAACTTTGAAGAATTAAGGGCTTGGGGCCTCGCAACTATTCTGAATGATTGCTTTTGAAGTAACTATCTAGAGCAGTGGGTCAGCAAACTATGGCTGGGCCAGCCATTTTTATAAATAAAGTTTTATTGGAACTGAGCTGCATTTGCCCGCAGCAGAACCTGAGGCCTGCATGTGTACAGTACACACCATGTGGCCCTTTACTTTGCCAACCTCTGACCAGGAGGAGTGAGGGGGTGTTTTCACTGACATGTTTGATCCAGGATTAGGATTAGGATTAAGGGAAATACATAGAAATACATAGCAATGCCTCAGTCGTAATATCAACAAATAATTGTGTTCTCTTTAAGCAAATCATTTTTTTCTGAGAGACCTTCCTTCACTGCTAGACTCAGTGAGTCTTCACATCCCACCCTGCCTTGATAGACTGTCATCATTGTGCTTTATTATTATCATTTTTAACTTTTTTGGCTTCTTATTATGATAAAATATACACAACATGAAATGTAACATTTTAAGCGTGCAGTTCAGTGGCATTAAGCAAATGCACATTGTTGTGCAGGTATCCCCGCCATCCCTCTCCAGAACTCTTCATCTTGCAAAGATGAAACTCTGTTCTACCTTAACAATAACCCTCCATCCTGTACCTTCTGTGGACTTTGGTCACTCTAGGGACCTCATATAAGTGGAGTCCCACAGGATTTGTCCTTCTGTGACTAGATTATTTCTCTTAGCCTAATGTTGTCAAGGTTCATTCATGTTGTAGCTTATGTCAGAATTTCCTTTTTGAGGCTGAATAATATTCCATCGTATGGACATAACACATTTTGTTTATCCAGTCATCCATCGGTGGACAGTTGGGTTGCTTCCATGTTTTGGGTATTGTGAATATCTCTGCTGTGAATTATTCACCCATAGTGTACAGGCATCTCTTTGAGATCCTGCTTGCAGTTCTTTTGGGTATATATCCGGAAGTGGAATTGCTGAATCGTATGGTAATTGTATTTTTTTTCTTAAAGGAGAAAAAATTTATTTTACTTTAAAATTTGTTTTTAAATATTTAATAAGAGTTTCAGAACTCTTTTTTCTTTTTTTAAATTAATTAATTAATTATTTTTGGCTGTGTTGGATCTTCGTTTCTGTGCGAGGGCTTTCTCTAGTTGTGGCGAGCGGGGGCCACTCTTCATCACGGTGCATGACCCTCTCACTATCGCGGCCTCTCTCGTTGCGGAGCACAGGCTCCAGACGTGCAGGCTCAGTAGTTGTGGCTCACGGGCCCAGTTGCTCCGTGGCATGTGGGATCTTCCCAGACCAGCGCTCAAACCCGTGTCCCTTGCATTGGCAGGCAGATTCTCAACTACTGCACCACCAGGGAAGCCCTACTTCTAAATTTTTAATTAATTTATTTGGTTGTGCTGGGTCTTAATTGAGGCTCGCTGGCTCCTTAGTTGCGGCACGCGTGTGGGATCTAGTTCCCTGACCAGGGATCGAACCTGGGCCCCCTGCGTTGGGAGTGCGGAGTCTTAACCACTGGACCACCAGGGAAGTCCCGGTAATTGTATTTTTAATCTTTTGAGGAACCACCATACCTTCTCACTTTATTTTAATTAAACTATTGAGTTACTTGTTCATCTGTCTGCCTCATCAGAGTGCCGAAAGTGTAGTGACTGTCTTGTTCTTTAGAGTCTAACATATTACCTGGCACATAGTAGGCACTCAGTAAATTTCTTAATTTTGTTTGTTCTTTAAATACCAGACCTTTAAAAGAATTTCTTCTCACATTGGACGGGGAATTTGCTGAAATATTTATGGCCTTCTTTGCATTTCTTTATCAGTTGCTCTTACTAGGGACCTCGAGTAGCTCTTGTTTCCCTAGTTAATAAGACACAGATGGGCCTGGCTTCTTGTCCTAGGGTACCTCAGGACGGCCATTCGCATCACGGAAGCTTGGCAGTGCGGTGTCGCCGGCCCCCCACACTTCCTGTTAGCTGAGACTCGCTTCCTTTCGATGGAGCAGGGGGAGCTAAGCTGCCAAACGCCAGCCTCACAGCTGCTGGGGCTGAGCTGGGGGAGCTGAGCTGTCTGTCGGCCTCCTTGAGGCTCAGCGTCCCGGGAGGTACAGCCTGTGTTGACACGAGGGCCAGGTGTCACCGTGTTGAGCCTCCCACCCCGACCCCGGCTGGCACTGGGCGTTCCTGGGGTCCTGCCTGCCCCCTCCCCACCCCCTCAGCACTAACAGCCTGATGTCTTCCCATGTGATACAAATCCTGGGAAGCCTTTCATTCGCTTAGCACGTTTATGGAGTGCCTGTTATGTGCCCGACATTCTTCTAGGTACTGAAAAGGTGGTATCAGCTGGGGGAGTAAAGGTGAAATGTTCTGAGATGCAAGGAGAATGTCCGGTGTTTGACCACTGTGACAGCATGTAGCCTAGCAAACGGAAAGAAATGCTGCTCGGGCAGGAAGTGAGTTCATACACCCCCGAGCGTCCATGTCTGTCACCGTCCCTAGTGGCTGTGTCTACTTTATTGAGGTAACATTGACGTGGGATAAATCTGACCCTTTCAGGTGGGCAGTTCTATTGATTTTGACAAACGCATACAACTGTGTAACCACCACCACAGTGACGAGAACATTTCCTTTGCAACCAATTATAGTAGCACACGGTCCTGGTTAGCGTTGCGGTGTCCATCTTCCACCGCTTGGTCTAGTGTCTGGTAAACAGTTGTATGTTCATAAGTATTGGCTAAGGGGTAAATTGTTATTCTAAGATGTTGCCTCTAATGACATGCACTTTGCTTTCAGTCAGTGGTTTGTGAGTTATGTAGTTTGAGAGACCCTGTCACTCAGCTTGTCCAGTCTATTAATAAGAGAGTAAATGGAATAACAGGACTTGGGCTGGGAGCCCCTGGGCCTCTAGTGGAGCGAAACCCCTGCCTCTGTCACTGGTCTTCAGGCGTGGATTTCATCCCCTTCTCCAGGTAGCTGCCGGGTTCTGGGTTCTGTCCCAGGATGCTGAAGTTGCCCCAAGTCTGAGGTGTCCAAGTGAGTTGTTGCTGTCATAGAGTATTTTCTCCTAGGCCATAGTCTCACAAGAAATAAAAATGTAATATCAATATATTCCTTTGTGTTCAGCACTCCTTTCAGGATATCTGTCTTACATGGGGCAGTTCTAGATTGAAGGTGATTCCGGATTGGTGAGAACCAAGCGTGTCGACCCTGTGAGGAACAAGTTGATGTTGTTTCCGTGTTAAGTTTCTCGGGTGTGATAACAGTATTGAGGTTCTGTAGGAGAGTGTGTTTGTTCCTGGAAATTGTATGCTTAGGTATTTAGGGGGCTCTGGTCATGAGAGTTACATCTTTCCATTGTTTGTGCCGAGAGAGAGAGAGAGAGAGAGAGAGAGAGAGAGAGAGAGAATGGAATAAAGGAAATATGGCACAAAATATCAACAGTGGCCCCTCTTGCATATGGTCTTCACTCTACTTTTTTTCAAGTTTCCTATAGACTGGAAATTTGCAACATAGTAAACCTTGGGCCACTGGCCATAGAGAATGTGAGCTGGAAGAGTGGGGGATGATCAGCCTGTGTGTGTCTCAGGTGTGGAGAAAGAAGCTGTCTGCGGCGGTGGAGGTGGGAGAGGCAGCGGAAGCAAAGCGCTGCAGGAACATGGAGGTCCTGTACGACTCCCTGCAGCTGGCTCACAAGTGCATCCTCAACTCCTTCTATGGCTACGTCATGCGCAAGGGGTAGGCTCCTGCCCGGGTGCCTGGTGGGGCCGGTGGGGCTAGTGGACGAAGGGAGGAGCTGAGATGCGTGGGGCCCATGGGCACGAGTGAGAGGGGAGAGGCAGGGCCCCAGTTCAAGGAATGTGGCTGAGCAGGTGGGGTAGGGGTGGAGGTCACGCTGGCTCAGAGGGTCCTGGGCATCAGCGGGGTCAGTACTGCTGGGCACGTTCTTCTGAGCATCCTGGGCTGCAGACAGCGGTGTGGTAGTTTCTGGCATACGACTAGTGAGGGCTGTAAATAAAGCCTTCTGAGAAGTCGAGAAAGCCCCATGGGGACTGTGCCCGTGATCAGAGGCCAAAGGGAGATGAGGCAAGGTGGGGCCTGTGTCCGTTGGACCGACAACCAGGTGGGTGGGGGCCTCGGGAGAGCAGGTGATCGAAGGTGAGGCCTAGCCCCTGTGGTTGGAGACTGGGAGGATCGGCATGGCGGCCTGGAGAAGGGGAAATGTGGTGATGGGGCCAGGGACTGGTCTGAGGGGGAGAGGCCTTGATTCTCTGTTGCTGCTTTTTAATGGCAGAGAGGGAGGGGCTGAGAGCAGGGCTAGAACCGGAGCGGAGTTCCCTGGGGCAGGAGGGCCTGGCCTCAGGTCGCTTGACACCTCTGAGACCTGGTGTGAACACTGAGCCAGGTGGGCTGGTGTTTTCCCTGAGAAGTCGGGATGAGAGTGGGCTTTGGGAAAACGGAGGAGGCATGAGACGGTGCTGGGGAGAGTGGGAGGGGACTCAGGGACACACGGCCATCTGGCTGGTATTGAGAGTCCTGCTGAGCTGAGGTTGTGAGCTGTTGCAGTGGCAGCATGCTGCATCCTTCCAGAACTTTCCTGAGCGGAGCCCTGCACCTTGAAGTAGGAACAGAGGAGTGTCCTCAGCACAGAGCTAAATTCCGCCTTAGTTCTTCCCTGCTTCAGATGTCCCCTCCTCCCAGCCCCAACTCTAATGACCCTCTAGAGGGAGCCCCTCCCACCCCCTCTGCTGTGACTGTCCCTCCCAGGGCCCGCTGGTACTCCATGGAGATGGCTGGCATCGTCTGCTTCACGGGGGCCAACATTATCACCCAGGCACGGGAGCTGATTGAGCAGATCGGGTGAGTGCTGCACTTGGTCAGCTGCTGAGGCTGGGTGGGCCGCGGCCTGGTGGGGAGGCCGGATGGCTGGGGGAGAGAAGGGACAGGTTGATGAAGATAGAGCTGGAGAGGGGCAGGTGTTTCGTTCTGTGGGTTCACGACCAGGGGAGCCTTGTCCACTGTCAGGACTTGACAGGGGGTTCTTGCTCTATAGGCGTCGATGTCCACCATCCATGTGGTCTCATTTTTCTGTTTCCCTGAAGGAGGCCCTTAGAGCTGGACACAGATGGAATATGGTGTGTCCTGCCCAACAGCTTCCCGGAAAACTTTGTCATCAAGACGACCAGTGTGAAAAAGCCCAAGGTGACCATCTCCTACCCTGGGGCTATGTTAAACATCATGGTCAAGGTGAGCCTGCGTCTCCAGTGAGGGGCTACTGTCTGGGCTTTGGCTTCCTTGTGCCACCGCTCTGACGGGGATTTGGGAAAGGGGGCTGGGCTGGCTGTTACTGACATGCTCCCATCCTGACTTCAGGCCTCCCCGTCTCCAACCTTCAGATTGTTTTTCTCTAGCCTGAGCATCTGTCCAGAAAACGCTATGCTCAAAAGTTACCTGAGTCTACATTCACCTTCAGTGTAATACCCAGACTTACAGAAAAATTGCAAAAATAGAATAGAGAATTTCTGTATATCCTTCAGCCTGCTTCCTTTAATGTTAAGTAAGATCTTTTATAAACCGCAGTGTAATTGTCAGAATTAAGAAGTCACCTTGGCACCACACCGTAACTCAACTACAGCTGTATTTGGATTCCCCACTTTTTGTGCACTGCGTTTGGGCGTCCTGTCTCCTTAGTCCCCTCCAGCCTGGCAGCCCCTTGGTCTCTCTGGTCTGTTATGACCAGGACACTTTGATACTGGTCAGGTGCTTTGCTAACTGACCCTTAATTTGAATTTGTCTGTTGTTGTTTGTTATTAGACTGAGGTTATTTGGGGTTTTTGGAGGAACACTCCAGAGTACATGCCCCGTGTTGGCATTCTGTCAGGGCATGGTGTCGGGACCTGCACTCCTGCTGCTTGCTGGCTTCCCAGTGTCGCGTTATTGGAGTGAGCCAGTGAGTCCACACTCCCAGGAGGAGTGGCAGAGTCTGGCCACGTAGCAAAGCCACCACTGTAATTAGTAAAGACAGTGGAGGAGATACTTTTGAGATGCTGCAGATGTGCCGTTTCGTGTGGAACCGTCGCCCTGGTTTTAACGCTAGCGGTGGTCTCAGCGGTGGTTGCGGCAGCATCACTCTGCCCAGGGCGAGCCTGGTTCCCTCGTTCCTTGGAAATTATTCATCGGAGCCTTCTGTAAGGAAGAGCTGCCACCCTTCCCTCCCACTTATTCCCTTGCTTGTCTCTTTATTGAGTCATTTGTTAGGTCAGTGTGGGTTTGCGCATGTTTGTTCTGTTGGGCCACAACCCAGTTCTGTCCTGGCATGTTTTGTTACTCAGCTTGTTCCCTTTTGGCCGCTGGGGGCTCCTCCATATTCACCCGCGTGTCCTTGAGACATGCCCCGTTCTGGGGTTTGGGTTTGGCTTTTTTTGGAGTACTTTCTTACTTCCTGGGACTACAAGACACTCCAGCCTCATCTTGTATTTCCCCTGTCCCACCCTGGAATCAGCCATTTCCCCAAGGAGCCTGGCTTCCTTTTATTGGAGAGTGGTGTTAGAAACCGAGATGGGGTCTGAGGTGTCACTGCTGCTCACAGCAGATTGGCTAGGAAATGTGTGTGTGTATAATAACCCTGCACGCATGAATGTACGTTTATTTCTCTCTTTATCTGCATATATATTTAAAAATATATAACATGAGTCTATTGATATATCCAGCTTCAATCTATTCTCTTTTCCTTATTAGTAACTTCTTCTGTTTCTAGTTTTCCTAATGTATTTATTTATTTGTTCAACCCTAGTATTTGTGTAAAATAGGTTCAGAACCATGTGTCTGTGAGCAGTAAGCTCACCAGCTGCAGTCGAGTGTTTTATCTTTAGTCTTACGCCACCCAGGCAACACAAGGTTTGCCAAAGTTTCTTAAGCCAGCCCTCTGGCAGGGTTCTGTCATGCAGCGATAATGAAGTCAAGCTCGTTTGTCCCAGTCTGCAGGCTCTCTTGGGGTCACCCTAGATCCTGGTTGAATGTTTTTTAATTTGCCTACAGTAAAATTCACTTTTTACAGGGTGCAGTTCTGTGGGTTTTGATTCACACATAGAGGTGTGTGTCCACCACCACAGCGCAACACAGAATAGCCCACTACCCCGGAGGTTCCTGGGTGCTGCCCCTTTGTTGTCAGCCCTTCTCCTTACACCCAAACCTGGCTCCCCAGCATGTCCTTTATGTGATAGTTTTGCCTTTTCCAGCGTGTCCTATGAATGGAAACATGCGTGTAACTTTCTGGACCAAGCAGGATGCACTTCATTTTATCCACGTTGGACACGTGTCAGAACTTGATCCCTTTCTCTTGCCAAGTGGTGTCCATTGTATGGAAGAGCCCCAGCTTGGCTGATCTGTCCACCCCTTGGAGGGCAGCTGGTGGTTTCCAGGTTTGGACGATCACAAGTGAGGCTGAGCCCCTCTTCACTCTTGCTGTGCAGGAGGGCTTCACCAATGAGCAGTACCAGGAGCTGGCTGAGCCTTCCTCGCTCACCTATGTCTCCCGCTCAGAGAACAGCATCTTTTTTGAGGTTGACGGACCCTACCTTGCCATGATCCTTCCAGCCTCCAAGGAAGAAGGCAAGAAACTGAAGAAGAGGTAGGAATCCCGCAGACTTTATGCTTAGGAAAGGAAATGGATAGACTAGGTTTAACAACTCCTCCAGGAAGTGGACCAGGAGCCAGGATGGGAACAGACCTCAGTTCTAGTTTTTTGGCCTTTTTGATTCAATTTGGAAAGCTGTTCTTGACGCTGATGCTACCAACTCTGTTCTCCACCTGTTATATTCTGGTTCTACAGATGGCAGGGTCTTAAGTCATTTTTAGTTTGGAGAAGCATAAACCTCAGGATGGAGAGATGTTTGCTGCTTGACGGATGCTAGAGGGGCGGGTAAGAGAAGGAAGAAGGCCGAGGGCGAGGAGAAGCAGCCAGCATCCCAGGCTTTCCCTCTCTGCTGTGCTTGCCTGTGTTCCTAGGTATGCCGTATTCAATGAGGATGGTTCCCTGGCTGAGCTCAAGGGCTTCGAGGTCAAACGCCGTGGGGAGCTGCAGCTGATTAAAACCTTCCAGTCCTCAGTATTCGAGGCCTTCCTTAAGGGCAGCACCCTAGAGGAGGCGTATGGCTCTGTTGCCAAGGTGGCTGATTACTGGCTGGACGTGCTGTACAGTAAGGTAAGGCCACCCTCCTCACCTGGCTCTGAGGGTCCTGGTGAGCAAGGTGACAGGTGAACTCAAGGCTAATAATTCTGATGGGATCCCACTACTTCCTTAGTTCCAGGGCCTCTCAGAATCCCCCCTTAACTTCTATATCCAGTGACAGAAACAGTGAAGGAAACAAATAGCATGATAATGAACGAATTGTAAGCTGTTTGTCCTCGGATAGGCCCCCCGGACTCCTCATCGCTGAAGGAAGCTGCTGGCCCCTCAGTTGGTCCAGCTGCTGTCCGGCTGGCCTGTGCCTCTTCTCCCTCCTGGTTCCTCCTTTCCCCATCTTTCTTTTCCTTTTAGGAGAAAAATCAATGCTCTGTCTTTTCTCTTCTTCTGCAGTCTTCGTGCTAATAGCTCAATAAACGTTTCTTGATATTTTTCTGCACACTTTAATAAAACAAAAGGTACGGTTTTGTGTGTGGTGTAAGTGTTGCTGTATGCTGGTATGAGACAGCCCTATTACACTGCTGCCTTCAGCTCATCAGGCTAGAGAAACGCAGACTTTCACCTGGAGGAAAGTCTCGGGTAGCCTCATGGTGGTGCTCCCTTCCTTCTGCGGGACGCTTTGCCCATTGCCTCTTTCTCCAGGCAGCTAACATGCCTGATTCTGAGCTGTTCGAGCTGATCTCTGAGAACCGTTCCATGTCTCGGAAGCTGGAAGATTATGGGGAGCAGAAGTCTACGTCCATCAGCACGGCCAGGCGCCTGGCTGAGTTCCTGGGGGATCAGATGGTGAAGGATGCAGGGCTGAGCTGCCGCTACATCATCTCCCGGAAGCCTGAGGGGTCTCCGGTCACAGAGAGGTAAGGGTTTCCAGTGTTAAGGAAGGAATTCCTTAAGGGTCTCATATGCTCACTTTGAAAACCTGCATCTGTTGTGGAACCTCTGTCCTTCCATAGAGAGATGAGCTTCCTTAAACAGTACAGGGAGGGATTTCCCTGGTGGTGCAGTGGTTAAGAATCCGCCTTCCAGTGCAGTGGACGTGGGTTCGATCCCTGGTCGAAGAACTAAGATCCCACATGCCGTGGGGCAACTAAGCCCGCACGCCGCAGCTACTGAGCCCGTGCGCTGTAGAGCCTGCTCGCCGCAAGAAAAGATCCCCTGTGCTGCAACTAAGACCTGATGCAGCCAAAAATAAATATTTAAAAAAACAGTGCAGGGATAGTCTGGATTTAGAAAAGGGAGGAACTGGGCCTCAGACCCCCTGCAGATCAGATGACAGGAAGGCTTTCTGGGGCCCTGGTGGGACCCCTGAGAGAGCGTGGTGAACCCATCCACCTGGAGCCCGGAGAATCTGGGTTCTTGGGAGACCAGACTGAGAGCACCCTCTCAGTCAGGCATAGGGGAGTGGGGATGTCTTGGAGGGTCTGCTGCGATGGGCCCCATCACAAGGTCCATTTCAGGTTTAGGACAGGACTCCAGATCACTCACACCCCCGAGGAGACTGATGCTGTACTTTTCGAGTTGGGATGATTGAATCACAGCTACATGTTACATCACTGATAGAGCAAGAAAAGCAGACTGCAGGGCGACACATACAGTGTACTTCCACCTGTTTAAGTTTACACACATAGAAAGTACTCTTATTTTTTTATGGGTACACAAAATAGTTCTATAAAGCATGCATGGGATTGATAAACACCAAGAAAAATATTGTGTTTACTTCTGTATGAGGAGGGTCAGGAGAGCTGCACTGGGGACTTCATCGTCATCTTTATTTTTTCATCCATGAAATAAAAATGGCAGGGCCAGTTTGATAGGACTGGGTGGTGGGTGCACAGGTGTCTGTTGTGTTCTTTCTAAGTTTCTTCATGATATTTCACAATAACAAATACTTCCTCCAATGAAAGAAAGAGGGGTAGTGACAGTTGCCCTATTGCTTTGCTAATGATGTGAAAACTGGCTTCATTTTCAGGTGAGCAGGTGGGCTCTCTAATATTTTACCCAATGAATAATAATTTTTTAAGTTTTTAATTACATACATGCACATGAATATATAACTTATGTAAGGACACTTGTATAAATAGCTCTATTAACGGTGGCCAAACACAGACCAGATGGCCAATGGTAGGGGATTGTACATTAAACCATGGTATTTTAATATGATGAAGTATTGTTTAGTTATTAAGTATGATAAACATCAGATATAGGTATAGTTTATACAAATAACTACAATAAATAGAAACATAGGTTACAAAGTAGGTCATAATAACTTATTTCCATGTAGAATATGTGTGTACTTGATAAGTGCTATGACCTGGTTTAGGGAGGTTTTCACATTGTTGAGTTTTGTGTCTCTTCTTGCCCAGGGCCATTCCACTCGCCATTTTCCAGGCAGAGCCCACGGTGAGGAAGTACTTTCTCCGGAAATGGCTTAAGAGTCCTTCCCTTCAAGACTTTGATATTCGGACAGTGAGTGCGGGTTTTTTCCTACTCTCAGAAGTTTAGGAGGAAAACTAGACAGGGCAGAGTATCCCTGACTCACGTCTCCTTTTTGGCTGGAGACTTCACTCTTGATTTCCTCCTTTCTGTTATGTAATGAATGAGGAAATAGTTACATTTTAGGGCAAAACTGGAGAAGCTAAATGTTGGGGAGGCCCTTTTAACTGTTCTCTTGGATGGACTAAGGCTTGGGGTCTGGCACAGGGTTCTAGTGCTGGCTTGGCCCCCTACCAGCTCTGATCCTGGGAGAGTCGTTTACACTCTCCACTTCAGTTTCCTCCTCTGCGAAATGGGACCTTTTATCTTAGAATTTCTAAGAGGGTTAAGTGAGACACGTGAAGCATGCCGCTGCTGCTGCTTTTCTCTCATACACCCCGGTTGTTGCTGGCTTCCTGCACGCTCAGATTCTGGACTGGGACTACTACATTGAGCGACTGGGAAGTGCCATACAGAAGATCATCACAATCCCTGCGGCTCTGCAGCAGGTGAGGTTGAGAACTGGTGGAAACAGGGCACAGTGTGACCTAAAAGCTACAGAAACCTGGGCCTGGCCCAGACTAACAGCATCAGACAAGTGATCGATCTCACCTTTATGTAGGTGAAGAACCCAGTACCACGTGTCAAGCACCCTGACTGGCTGCACAAAAAACTGCTGGAGAAGAACGATGTCTACAAGCAGAAGAAGATCAGTGAGCTCTTCGTCCTTGAGGGCAAGAGACAGGTAATGGGGCCTGGCCCAGGCCAACAGAGGCTGTGACGGTTGGCGCTGGGCAGTGTCCCATGGGCACACAGGGCACCAAAGTCTCCACATTGCTGTCCATAATTTTGGATGCTTCCTTCCATTCAGGCATTTACAATGTTTTTTTTTTTCTTTCTAAAAATGTACACATTGATACTTTATCCTTTAATTCCTCCCAATGTTCTTCTTTTGCGATAAGAAACTTTGTGAATCATCAGTTTAGGGTGAAGAACTATGTGTAAATGGAGGATGTACTAATTAGACTCAGTAACTTGGAATGCATCACTATACCTTGAGACCTCAGTTGTCTAAACTGTAAAAAAAAAAAAAAATTCTGTTAGAAACTCCAAAAAATACTGAAGACAGTGTAATGAAAAGCACAGCTAAAATCAGAAGAGCAAGAAGAAAATTCTGAGGTGCTGAAGATGGAAAGTGAGCTTCAACCAGAGCAGTAAACAAACTCACCTGCTAAAAGCAGACTCTCAGGTTGAATTTTTACAGTCTAACTTTATCTTATTTATAAGAGCTATATTTAAAAGGGCTCAAAATGATTAAAAGGTTGAAAAAACATATATATCAGGTAAATATTAACCAAAACAAAGCTGATGTAGCTATATTAATGCCAGACCAAAAAACTATGTAGGCCAAAAAGTATTAGTCGGGATAAGGATGGTATTAAACTATACTGAAAGTCACAATTCTCTAGAAATATATAACAATTCTAATAGTTTAGTTTCAAATTAAATAATGTAAAAATTACCTAAGTAGAAGAAATTGACATCTAATCAGTTTGGGATTTTGACACATCTCTCTCAATTGATAGATCTAGCAGACCAAAAACTAGTAAAAATGTGTACAGTTGGAATGACACAATTGCTAACTAGATTTAGTAGCTAACTAGATTTAGTTAACAAATAGAACCTTGCACCCAGTAATTAAAGGATACACATTCTTTTCAAGAACACCTAAAATAAGACTGTCTGTATGCTGCAAAGTGCATTGCAACAGATTCCAAATAATTTATATACAGACCATATTGTTTGGAAACTAAAAAGAAACACATTTATAAGTAACTCATGGATCAAAGAAGTCACAATGGAAATTAGAAATACTTACTGAATGAAAATACTATCAAAATTTATAGTATGCAGCTAAAGAGGACTATAAATAACACATAATCTATTTAAATGCATGTAATAGAAAAGAAAAACCAGTAGAAAATTAAGTAAGCTTATAGCTGAAGAATTCGAAAACAGTAGAGTGAACCAAGAAAGTAGAAAGAAAGAAGTTATAAAGGCAAGAGCAGAAATGAATGAACAAACAGTAAAACCAAAACCTTGATCTTTGAAAAGACTTATGAAATAGACAAATCTTTGTCAAGATAGGTATTTCAGGTTTTGTTTTAATGAAAACAGATTATCATTGCAGATATAATAAAGCCTGAAAATAAATAAATAAGTAGTTACCTTTCCTAAACAATTGGAAAACTTAGATGGAATGGATAGTATCCTAGAAGAATTATTCAAATTAACCTAAGAAAAAAAATAGAAAAACTGAATAGAACTTTAACCATTAAAAAATGAATCATAGGGCTTCCCTGGTGGTGCAGTGGTTGAGAGTCTGCCTGCCGATGTAGGGGACACGGGTTCGTGCCCCGGTCCAGGAAGATCCCACGTGCCGCGGAGCGGCTGGGCCCGTGAGCCATGGCCACTGAGCCTGCGCACCCGGAGCTTGTGCTCCGCAACGGGAGAGGCCACAACAGTGAGAGGCCCGCGTACCGCAAAAAAAAAAAAAAAAAAAAAAAAATCCTAATTAGAAAGAAACAAACACTGGACCCAAATGGTTTCTCAGAGGGATTTTACCGAACTTTTTAAACAAATTATTCCAGAGAATATCAAGATTACTCATTTGGTAATCTTGATAACACTTGTTACCTTGGTAACAAACTGACAGGCCAGGAAAAGGAAGGAGTGTTATAGGCCATTGGCAGTTACAAACAACAGGTACAAAAATAGTAACAAACTAAATTTTGCACCGTATAAAAACAGTAACACTGTGTACAAGCAGGACTTATGCAAGGAATGGCAGGGGTTAGCTTTAGAGATCTGCTAATTCTGTTAATTTTAGGAAAAATCTGTTCATCATCATCATCAAGAGAGATTTATGGGATCATTTCCAACAGAGGCAGGAAAGAACATTTGATAAACTTTAATGTCTGTTCGTGATAAAACTTTGAGCAGGCAAAATCATAAATGATGAGATGTTTCTCTGATAAAGTCTCTGTCGAAACTCAATAGCACACATCATATAGTGGCACATTAGAATCATTAAAGTTGAGGAACAGGAGATGGATGCCTGTTACCATCACTTCTATTCAAAATTGTTTGGAAGTCCTGGCCAGCATAATTCAACAAGGAAAAGAAGTTAAATTTTAAGGATAGAAAGGCATAAAACTCGTCATTTGCAGGTGATGTTAACACAGAAAATGTAAGGAAACCCAGGAATTATTTTAACTAATAAGACATTTCAGCAAGATCATTAGATACAAAGCTGATATATAAAAATCTGTAGCTTTATCTTATACTAGAAACAATTAGGATTTTTTTGTTGTTGTTGATTTTTGGCTGCATTGGGTCTTTGTTGCTGTGTGCAGGCTTTCTTTAGTTGCAGTGAGCGGGGGCTACTCTTCGTTGCGGTGTGTGGGCTTCTCATTGCAATGGCTTCTCTTGTTGCAGAACATGGGCTCTAGGCGTGTGGGCTTCAGTAGTTGTGGCGTGTGGGCTCAGTAGTTGTGGCTCTCGGACTCTAGAGCACAGGCTCAGTAGTTGTGGCACATGGGCTTAGTTGCTACGTGGCATGTGGGATCTTCCCGGACCAGGGCTCAAACCCATGTCCCCTGCATTGGCAGGCAGATCCTTAACGACTGTGCCACCAGGGAAGGCCGGCATGCAGGATCTTAATTCCCCAACCAGGTATTGAACCTGCGCCCCCTGCAGTGAAAGGCGGATTCTTAACCACTGGACCACCAGGGAAGTCCTTCAAAAAGTTTTTTGATGTAACTTGAAAGTCTAATCCTAAAATTCATATGAAGAACCAGTATAAGAAAAACAAAAACAATTTTGAAGATGAATAAGGGGAAGCTTGTCTTAGTATGTAACAAGACACACAAGAAAGTCTTATTAAGGCAAGACCATACAGCAGTAGCGCTCATAGGTACCCTAGAAACAGATCCAAATACGTATGGGAGCTTGGTCTATCACAGAGGTAGCGTTATACATTATTAAGGAGAACGGAGTGCTTATTCAATAAATGATACTGGGGGAAATGTTTTTTCATATTTCAAGAAGTAAGTAGCTATCTCACACTGAGTATGAAAACAAATTCCAAATACAGATCTAAATTGAAAAAGAAAACAACTGTTTAGAAAAAAACACAGGAGGCTATCTTTATGATGCTGAGGTAGAAAGAGCTTCTTAAGGCATGCATAAAAAACGATCACAAAGGGAAAGACAGATACATTCAATTAATTAAAATGTAAATTTTCTGTAGTCTGAAACAAGAATGGCAGAACGTTGGTATTTATTGAATCTGAGTTATAAGAACATGGGTATTCATTACTTTTGTAATTTTTATAATAAAAAGTAAAAAACACACACCCTTTTATAGTACAGAAGTCACCATAAAGAGACAAGTCATAATTCGAAGAAGATATTCGGAATGTACGAAAGTTAGGAATGGTCCATAAGCATGTGTATATTTTTCTGTTGCTACGTAGCAAGTAATCCGAGAACCTAGCAGCTTAAGTAACACAGGTGTTTTTGTTTTTTGTTTTGGCTGCGCCGGGTCTTTGTTGCTGCGTACGGGCTCTTTCTAGTTGTGTCAGGCGAGGGCTACCCTTCGTGGCAGTGTGCAGGCTTCTCATTGTGGTGGCTTCTCGTTGCGGCATGCAGGCCCCAGAATGCATGGGTTTTAGTAGTGGTTGCAGCGCGCGGGCTCAGTAGTTGCAGCTCGCGGGCTCTAGAGCTCAGGTTCAGTAGTTGTGGCGCACGGGCTTAGTTGCCCTGCAGCATGTGTGATCTTCCTGGACCAGGAATCGAACCTGTGTCCCCTGCATTGGCAGGTGGATTCTTAACCACTGCGCCACCAGGGAAGTCCCACAGGTGTGTTATTATCTTGCACTTTCTGTGGCCTGTGGTTCTGGAATCTGGCGACAGCTTATCAAGGTCCCCTGGCTCAGGGTCTCCCACAGACTACAGTCAGGTGTCATCTGAAGGCTTCCCCAGCAACTGGGGAAGGACGTGCTTCACTCTGGTAGCTGGTGGCAGGATTCACTAGTGGAGCCGTCCTCATTTCCTTGCTCCATGGACTTATCCAGAGGGCAGGTCACAGCCTGGCAGCTGACTTCAGAGCAAGCACTGGATAAGGGCCAGAGTGCCAGCAGTTCAGAGGTCACTGTATTTTATAATCTAATCTCAGAATGACATCCTATCACTTTCGTTGTAATCTGTTCATTTGAGGCAGGTCACTGGGTCCAGCCCACACTCAGGAGGGAGTCATACAGGGGCATGAACAGCTGGAGGTGGGGGTCATCAGGGCCATTTTAGAAGACTGACTGCCCCAGGGTCAACCCCACTGTCAGTTAGGTAAATGAAAAATGAAGTATTTAGATACCACATCACACCAAAAAATGAGTATGGTGACACCAACTATTAGCACACGTGGGGAAATAGGAGCTTATCTGTATTTCTGGTGGGGGTGTGAACACAAGGTCTTCAGGCAGCATGTGGGAGGATGTTGTTGACGAACCCAGTTTCTAGTTCTGAAAGAGTAGAAATTAACCATTCTTCATTTTAGAACGTCATGGATAGGTAAGCTGATTTATTTGCATAATGGAATATCCTACAGTTAGAATGAATGGACAATGTCCACATGCATCAATAGGGATCAATTTCAAAAATATGTTATTGAGTAAAACAAGTTGCAGTAGGATGTGTACCATGTGTCTCTGTTCATATAAAACTGCAGCTTAAAGTAATGGTATATGGGTTTATAGGTACGGAGTAAAAATTCAAAATGTGTGGGGAGTGGTAGGCACTGTGCTTGGGGGCTGGGAGGGAGAAACAGGGGGCCTTTACCTATTCTTTGCAGTATTTTATTTCTTATGAAGAGGAGAGAGTTCTGAAGCAAGCACAGAAAAATGTAAACATTCACTTCATAATGGTGATGCCTGAGTGACATTTTCTGTCTGACCTTTTCACTCTTAAAAGTTTAAAAATAGATTAGTCTGTAAATGAATACGTTTGCATACAAGTATTTTACCTTATTCAGAGGTGCACTTATGGTGGATTTCTAGAGAGAGCTGTTCTAAGGCTCCTTTGGATCTTTGCAGGTGGGCGTGGCACAAGCTTCAGAAGGTGCCCAGAGCCTTGGTGCCCCCGACATGGAGGACTTCGGCCTTGTGAAGCCGCTCCACTCGGCAGTGCCCATTGCTACCAAGAGGAGGTGTAGCCACTGGGAGAGCCAGGAGGAGTCGCAGGACCTGGAGCTGACGGTGCCCTGGCAGGAGATCTTGGGGCAGCCTCCGGGGCTTGGATCCACCCAGGCAAGAATCCTCAGGGGGAGGAAGCAGGGATGCTGGTCAGGCCTGACCTGTGACGAGCCATCTCCCTGCAGGGTCTGGGCCCTGAACTGGGCCTTGACCCCTGAGCAAATTGGCAAGATGTACCCAGTTCTTACAGAGCGCTTGGGGACTGTGAGGGTTAGTTGCTGTGGAAGGGTGTTTCTGTTTCACTCGTGCTCAGCTGTATTTCCCGTCTCCTCCTCTTGACCTATCGCAGGAAGAGTGGCTGGTCTGGCTCCAGTTCCACAAGAAGAAGTGGCAGCTACAAGCTCGACAGCGCCTTGCTCACAAGAAGAGGCGGCGTCTGGCGGGGCCAGAAGGTGCACCGAGGCCTGGGACCGTCCGAGAGGGGCCCTCCACCGGGCTGGGGGGCTTCTTGCGAAGAACTGCTCGCAGCATTCTGGACCTCCCGTGGCAGATCGTGCAAGTGCGGACAGCTAGCAGTGGGAGGACGGGACACCCCTGAGGGCGGGAGCATGGCTTATGGGAACGAAGGGCTATCTGGATGGCTCACGATCCTGGGGACCTGGTCTGGAATGGAGCAGGAAGGGCAGGGCTTTACCTTTGTGCCTCTGTGACAGGGCCTGGTGCTGGAGGCCACCTGGGAGATGGCCTGTCCACAGGTATTGAGTGCCTTCTGTGACACGGTGAGACACGCACTGTTGTGCGACCTGTGTTTCCTTTCAGATCAGCGAGACCGGCCAGGCTGGCTTGTTCAGGCTGTGGGCTGTCATCAGCAGTGACCTGTATTGCATCAAGCTGAACATTCCCCGGGTATTCTACGTGAACCAGCGGGTGGCCAAAGCGGAGGAGGGCCCTGCCTATCGGAAGGTACGGGGGGCAGTTGGCATTGCTGATCACTGAGGTCAGCTGTCTGCTCAGCCTCTGAGGTTGTCTCCACTATGGAGGAGGCCATGCAAAGACCTAGTGAGCTTTGTGACCTTGAGCGAGGTGTTCTGGAGCCTCCATCTCCTGAGAACCTTCTTGGGATGCTGTAAAAATTAATTGAAATGATGCTGTGAAGCGCCAAGTGAATGCTCAGTGATGGAAGCTGCGGGTGTCATTGTCCTTGCTGCGCCGTCCTCTTGCATCTGACGTCCATGTAGCAGGGAAAGGACTGGGTGGACATTAGTCAGAGGCTGCAGGCTCTGTCTCCATAGGCTCTTTTGATGTTAACAGCTTTATTGGGGTCTAATTCACATGCCATACAGTTCACTCATCTAAAGTGTACGATTCGTTGGCTTTTAGTGTATTCACAGAGTTATGCAACCATCTCCACTGTCAATCTTAGAACGTTTTCATCACTCCCAAAGAAGCCCCGGGCCCCTTAGCAGTCTCTGCCCTCTCCCAGCCCTCAGTAAGCACTGGTCCACATTCTACCTCTAGATTAGCCTCTTGTGGACATTTCACATATGTGGGGTCCTACAGCAGGCGTCCTCCTCTCAGCTGTGGTGTCTTCAGAGGCCGAGCTCCCAGTCAGCTCCACCCAGAGCTCGTTCGCTGAGCAAATGAGCACATTTCTTGGTTGGGTGCTAGGAACCGATTAACAGGTTGATGTCTAGTTGAGGAGATGAGATTCGAGTATTGGTAACTGGCAACTAGACAGAGGAGCCTTCTGGAGAAGGTGAAACTCGATTCTGACCAGAATATTCAGCAGAATATGGATCTAGAGAGAGGACGGGGGGGTGTTGGACAGCAGAGGACAAATGACCTGGAATTCTGTAGCTTTCTTGGATGTGATGTGATGTAAGTTTGTAGGAGGACATCCTTGTAGGATATTTTCCCCTTTGGGCACCCCTCTCCTGCTCCCTCCTCGCCAGGATTCCCACACTCTCTGGCCGCGGCTCCTTTCCTAGTCTTCTGTCCAGGAAAACATGGCTTCTCTCGCGGTTTTTGCTTCCTGCACCCTTACGGTTAAACCCAGGAGAGAAAAGAGGAATATAAAGCGGAAACACCTGCCCCTCACAGTCTTGGAGCTTGTCTGCTTTTTAGAAGCCTCAGGCAGCTTCTTGAAGTTATGCCCAGACCTTTTCATTTTACTCATTGGGAGAGATGGGCTGTAGGGGTTTACTCCATGGTTGTGGGCACCAGAGGTTCTAGGCCTGTTTAAACGATGCATGGCTGTAAGAGTGTGCGCACATGTGTTTGCTTGTGCATTGTAGCACACATTACGACTTAGCTCAGTTGTGGGGTGAGATCATCGCCATATTGTGTCACCAGGTGAATCGGGTCCTTCCTCGCTCCAACGTGGTCTACAATCTCTATGAGTACTCGGTGCCAGAGGACATGTACCAAGAGCACATCAACGAGATCAACACTGAGCTGGCGGCGCCGGACATCGAGGGCGTGTACGAGACTCAGGTAACTGTTTTCCCAGCTGAACTGTGCAAGGATCTATCCGGATGGAATAGAGGGAAACAAACCCCACAGAGGCATGGACAGGCTAGCAGCATCGGCTGTGGACTTCATGGACACAGTGAATTTCAGCAGCATGTCTGCCGAAGATGGCCACGGGCCTGTGCCCTCCCCCGTCAGCCCTCATACCACTCTGTCTGCCTCCCTTCCAGGTTCCGTTATTGTTTCGGGCCCTGGTGCAGCTGGGCTGTGTGTGTGTGGTCAATAAACAGTTGGTGAGGCATCACTCAGGCTGGGAAGCAGAAACCTTCGCTCTTGAGCACCTGGAGATGCGCTCTCTGGCCCAGTTCAGCTACCTGGAACCAGGTATGGCATGTGCCAGCCGCCCTTGCTTGGCCTGCCTCCTGCTCATCTCAGGGTGACAGGCCATGTTCTCCTGCAGGGAGCATCCGCCACATCTACCTGTATCACCACGCGCAGGGCCACAAAGCTCTCTTCGGCATCTTCGTGCCCGCACAGCGCAAGGCGTCTGTGTTTGTGTTGGATACCGTGAGTTCCGGGCCAGGCTGTGGGCGAGCCTCGCTGTGGGGGGAGCATATCCCTGGGCACGGAACTCTCGCACCCCTGACCCCACTGCTGCCTTGTTTCCAAAAGCCTTCGCCCAGCAATTAGAAGTGGATCCGCAGAGGTAGCCCGGCCACCCATGTCCACTCCGGGCTGCCCACTTCCTTCCCTGTGGGGAGAGGCGCCGACCCAGCCCTTGTTTGTCTAGGTGCGAAGCAACCAGATGCCCAGCCTCAGTGCCCTGTACTCAGCTGAGCACAGCCTTCTGCTGGAGAAAGTGGGCCCTGAGCTCCTGCCCCCCAGCAAACACACTTTTGAAGTTCGGGCTGAAACAGACTTGAAGGTCATCTGCAGAGCCATCCAGCGCTTCCTGCTGGCCTACAAAGTGCGTGCCATCAGGGTCCCACACCGTGGGAGCCCCCTCCCTCCTTCCCTCCTTCCCTCCTTCCCTCCCTCCCTCCCCCGGGCCGGGTCCACCTAGCTGTCTCCTTCCCTGCGCCCAGGAGGAGCGCCGTGGGCCCACACTCGTCGCTGTTCAGTCCAACTGGGAGCTGAAGAGGCTGGCTGGCGAAGTGCCTGTCTTGGAGGAGTTCCCGCTAGTGCCTGTCCGTGTGGCTGATAAGGTCAGCTACGGGGTCCTGGATTGGCAGCGCCACGGAGCCCGGCGCATGATCCGGCACTACCTCAACCTGGACACTTGTCTGTCACAGGCCTTCGAGATGAGCAGGTGAGCCGAGTGGAGGGGTGTCTCTGTCCATCTTGGTTGTGGCTGGCCTCACGGGTCTCTGGTGGCAAGTCGGCCTTCCCTGCTTCCCCGGTCGTTGTCCCCTCTGGGGCTGGCTGACCCCGTGCCCCTGCAGGTACTTCCACGTCCCTGTTGGGAATCTGCCAGAGGACATCTCTACGTTTGGCTCCGACCTCTTCTTTGCCCGCCATCTCCAGCGCCACAACCACCTCCTCTGGCTGTCTTCCACATCACGGCCTGACCTGGGCGGGAAGGAGGCTGACGACAACCGCCTCGTCGTGGAGTTCGATGACCAAGCCCCTGTGGAGGTCAACAGTTCAGGCTGTTATTCCACAGGTGGGTGGGTGAGGCGCTCGGGGGCCTGGGCTGCTGCCCCTGCCGCTTGTTGCCGTTCTGTACTTCCGGGAACGCTCAGCCCTGTTGGACCGAGAGCCTGGGAGCCGAGCCTGCAGGGCTCTGCGGGTGTGTGCTCTGCAGTTGGCCGCCCCCAACAGCAGCAGCAGGGATTTTTCTGAGATAGTGCTTGCTGGGGTCAGGCTCCGCACCCAGGAGGGGTCAGTGCACAAGTGGTGGTGTCTGTGTGCAGTGTGCGTGGAGCTGGACATTCAGAACCTGGCTGTCAACACCATCCTGCAATCTCACCACGTCAATGACATGGAGGGGGCCAACAGCATGGGCATCAGCTTCGATGTGATCCAGCAGGCCTCCCTGGAGGACATGATCACGGGCAATCAGGCTGCCAGCGCTCCCACCAGCTACGACGAGACGGCCCTCTGCTCCAGCACCTTCAGGTACCCAGGGGCTTGCGACGCTGAGAACATCACCTGACCTTTTCTTCTTCTTGTGCCCTCTCCTCTCCAAAGGCCGAACAACAGTTTGGGTTCTAGAAGGAGCAGTAGAAATCCTTTTATCTTCTGTCCTTGTTTCGGAAACTAAGAGCTAAGACAGTGTCAGTGGGGTTTCCCTCCATCTTGCCAGAAACCAGCATAGGGCCAGGCTCCTTCCTCTGCTCATGGGTCTTTTGCTGCCCTCCAGGTATGGGTTGACAGTTCCTGTGGCCAGAGGCGTGCCTGCAGGAAATCGCCAGTTTACTTGGGGTGTGGGTGTGTATCGAGTATCTGCTGCGGGATGCACAGCAGGACATGCACAGTGGGTTAAGCCATACAGAAGGGGGTGCGAATTGCAGCGGTGACACGGGCAGGGAGCATGTGTGCTCTCCACAGCCCACCAGGTGATATGACTGTGGCCCGTTGTAGAGATGAGGAAACCGAGGCCCCGTGCTTGTGGTCGTGCTGCAGTTGAGGGGAAGGGTTGGTGCTCAGGAGCAAGTCTTGGGATTCAAGAATGGTTTTCTCCAACCGCCACTCCTGTTGCCTTCTCAGAGAAGGCGGGCAGAGCTGGAGGGAGCAGGCTGCAGGCCAGGGGGCTGGTGGAGAAGAGGCTCAGGGCCCGAAGGCACAGTGTGGTCAGGGCCGAGGGCTGCTGGGCAGGGAAGCGGCCGCTGTGTCCCGAGAGGTGCTGGCAGCAGAGCTGCCACAGGGCGGGGATGGCTGCGAGCCACCTGGGGCGACACAACCAGGGCAGTCGTGGCGAAGCAGATCGTTAGGCCCGTGACTGGCCCAAGGGAGGAGGGCCCTGCAGGTCTCTGTGGTCAGTCTTCTCCTGGTTCTCCCAGCAGGTGAGGTGCCTTCTTGTAGGGCACCCCCGTCTTCTCAGCTCTGTCCTGGCACCAGCCGTAGGGAAAACTTGGAAGGTTGTGTTGAGTGTGGTGGTGTTGAGGGGTGCAGATGAGTCACAGAGGGCCGAGGAATGGATCTGAACAGTGAGAAGGGAGGGGGCAAAGGTGACAGCAAAACAGGGAAGAGCTGGTGCCAGCAACAGAGGGGGGCGCCCTCTGAACCCCTCCTGCAGGATCCTGAAGAGCATGGTGGTGGGCTGGGTGAAGGAGATCACGCAGTACCGCAACATCTACGCGGACAACCAGGTGGTGCACTTCTACCGCTGGCTCCGGTCCCCGTCCTCGCTGCTCCACGACCCCGCCCTGCACCGCACGCTGCACAGCATGATGAAGAAGCTCTTCCTGCAGTGAGTGCCGCCCGTGGCCTTCTCCGGGCTACGCTGATCCCTCAGTCCCCAACCCAGAAAGATGGCAGTCAGCACCTCTGGGAATCAAGAGCGCACTTGAACCATAGCGATCAGATGGGTCCCAGGAAGAGCTTAGCTGCCATCGCAGCTTCCAGAGACACGCTGTGCGATGCATAGTCTTTGTTGCTTTTTCATAAGTCATTGTACACTGTGCTTACTGTTCTGCACCTCGCTTGCCTTCGTTAACAGTAGATCTTAGAGAGCTGTGTGTGGATGTACCACGCTAATGGACATTTAGGCTGCTTCCACAACTTTTGCTGTCACAGTGACCAACGTGGAGTGGCCTTGTACGTGATGAGGTCTCGCAAACATGTCTGTAGAATAGTCTTCAGGAAGTAACGCTGTTGCAGATCTGATCGATATTATCAGATAAATCTAGATGGGTGAACACCAATTTGATCAGTATTGTCAGAGAGCTCCCTGTAAAGGTCGTACAGTTGATTGTGCTATTAGCGATGATTGGGAATGTATGTCCCCACTCCAGGCCACGCCGCCATGGGGGGTATTATTGCCAATCAGATGGGATAAAATGCTCTCTTGGTATACCCTTAATATGCAGTCCTTATTATGAATGAAATTGGACTTCCTTTTCATATCCTTTGCCCATTTTTCTGTAGATTTGGGTTTTTTTTTCCCTCATTAATTTGTATGAGTTCTTTCTAGATAAAAATTAGCCATTTTTATGTGATGTGAGTTCCACACTTTTTCCTCAGTCTTTGTCTTTGGTTTTGTTTACGGTAGGGTTTTACAATGCAGACCTCTTTGTCCTTTGTTGCCTCTGGGTTCTAAGTATGTTTTCTGCTTCAGGACGATCAGCTTTTTTCTCACAGTGTCTTCTGGTCTTCTCTGGTGTCTTGACCGTTGATTCTGAACTTGGTCTGCAGGCTCATTGCTGAGTTCAAGCGCCTGGGGTCATCAGTCGTGTATGCCAACTTCAACCGCATCATCCTGTGCACCAAGAAGCGGCGGGTGGAGGACGCCCTTGCCTACGTGGAGTACATCACCAACAGGTGTCAGCATTCCTGTACCCTTCATTCATCTGTGTCTTATCTGATCCATTCACCTGCTGCTGACAGCCTTAACATGTCTCGTAGCATGGCTCTGTTGGTAACGAATGCTTTCTGCCTTTGGGTATCTGAAAAAGCCTTTATTTCACCTTTGTTTTTGAAGGATATTTTTGCTGGGCATAGAATTGCAGATGGATCTTTTTTGAAAGTCTTTTTTTTCCTCTTTGTGTTTCTTTTTGGATAATTTCTGTTGTTATGTCTTTAAATTCACTGATCTTCTGCAGTGTTTAATCAGCCATTAATCCCATCTAGTATATTTTTCATTTCACACTGACAGTTTTCATCTCTAGAAGCTTGGTTTGGGTCTTATACATCTCTAGAGTCTACTTAACATGTTCAGTCTTCCCTCTGGTTTAACACATGCAATACTGTTCTAATAACAGGTTTTTTGTTTTAATTAACTTATTATTATTTTTGGCTGCATTGGGTCTTCCTTGCTGCATGCGTGCTTTCTCTAGTGGCGGCGAGCAGGGGCTACTCGTCGTTGCGGTGCATGGGCTTCTCATTGTGTTGGCTTTTCTTGTTGTGGAGCACAGGCTCTAGGCACACGGGCTTCCGTAGTTGTGGCCCGCGGGTTCTGGAGCCCAGGCTTAGTAGTGGTGGCGCACGGGCTTCGTTGCTCCACGGCATGTGGGAACTTCCCGGACCGGGGCTTGAACCCTTGTCCCCTAAATTGGCAGG